AATATAGCATATATAGTATATACATTATATTAGAATTCAATATTATGTACTATAATTAGTAATTAAAAATATTCTATATTATAGAATTATATGTAATATATACATACGGACATATACATATATATACATATATGTGTTATATATGTTTTCTCTAAAATTTTACTGACATTGGGGCTCGTGGGTGGCTTGGTCTCTTGGGCATCTGAGTCTTGATTTCAGCTCAGGTTGTGATCTCAGGGCCGTGGGATCAAGTCCCACGTCGGGCCCTGCACTCAGCACGGAGTCTGCTTGTCCCTCTCCCTCTGCTCCTCACCCCACTTGCTCACTCTCTCTATCTCTAAAATAAATAAAATCTTAAAAAAAAATTTACTGACATAATGTATAGCACACAATTCACAACTAACAATAAAACACACAGTACTCTTGTCCATTTCATATGGCCAATTGATCTCACAAATCTTTCACTGATTTTTGTCAAACTCTTGTATTCCTAGCCAACCTATGCAACTGACAAAGTGTAGTTCTGACATGAATGTTGGCTGATTTTTCCACTTATATTAGTAATAAGAAAGAGAACTAAGCAAGTTATATGTTGGAACTTTACATGTTCATCAGTGACTTAAGCAACTTCTTTGCTAAATCAGATAACTTTCAATATACTGGGAGACGCCTCAGATCTTTCTGTGCTTACCATACAACAACTACAGACACACTTTTAAGTTTACTGCATCATTAACATTTTCTCTATGGCTTTAGACAGCCAACAAAACAATAAATCAAGGCGTGATGAGTAGCATTTACTGGTTCCATGATGTAAATAACTCTCAACGTGGCTGGTTTGAAGGCAGTGACCGACAGGAAGTTCCTGAACACACACTGAGAAGAGATAGGCAGTCGTAGTGCTCCATTATATAGTATTTCTACCATGTAGGGACAATAGACGTAAATAACCTCTAGAGAGTAGTAATTAAGAAGATGAGTTTGGACCATTACCTTTGCTTTAGTATAATTTATTTAAGTGTAAGTTTATATAATTAAATTTTTAATAACGGCTGTGTTTAACAACTGCCCTGTAAACTTCCTGAGCATTTTACAGTTTTCACAATCTCTTCTACCCTGGCTCTGGCATACCACTAGGCCACACATCCTCATTTGCCCACTGTTTACAAATAAATAAGCCTCTTGGCTTTGTTAACAGCCTGGTTTAAAAAAAAAAAAATTCTCATTTATCCCATGAAATGGGGTAGGAAAGATTGGGGTGAATTGCTTGCCTCTGTCCTGAGCTCCTCTGGCCAGGTGAGGGCCTGACTTTAGGCGATCAGTTCGCTCAGAGAGAGTTTTTGTGATGGGCTCCCCCATGGGGGGAGAGGATTGAAGGCTATGGGCTTCCTGAGAGCCTGCCTTGCTGTTCTGGCCAGCTCACTGCTCTCTTGGCATAACCATGGGGCAGTCATTTTCCTCGTGGATACAGAGAGATTGAGGGGAAATGGACTAAGACTACATTACTGCTAGTGTGTAGTGCATAGGAAAGGGGAGAAGAAAAGCCCTGCTCACCCCCAATCCTTCCTTGCCTTTTCTATTTTTCCTTTCCTGTTGTTACCCATCACACTCCTTGATGTCATGCCTGTCATTGTGAGCCGACAGGCCCTCCCTGGCCTGGTGGACAGCCTGTAAGTCAGGAGGGGAAGTGGAGCTGCGGAGGTGTGGGGGAGCAGTGGTCACACCAACACCTTGGAATTGGGCTGGGTCTGCGTGGAGCCCCAGAGATGGTCCCCAGCCCGTTCTTTCCAAGAACCAATGAGTAAAATTAGGGGCCTCCCACCTGAGGTCAGGGAACCAGGCCCTGGAGTGGAACTTGGGGTGGAAGATGGCCTTCTTTGTCAACTGATTCATTCTCCAGAATTCAACTTGTTCTCCGACTCGGTGGTGTTTGAAAGCAACTTTATCCAGGTACCCCCGTGGCAGCTCAGAGCCCGCTCCCTTTCCCTTTCCAAAACTTGCTCCAGAGGGTTGATCCAAAAATGCTGTGGCCTCTGAAAGCCCTGGGGAGGAGAAGGAAGCTGCTATGGCTAGAGACAACCAGAGGGTCTGGATCCCAAGTTCAGCTCAGTTTGTGCCTAAGGCCTCGTGGGGCTCCCCGCAGGTCATATGCTTTCAGGAAACAGAATTAGACGCTGCAAAAGGGCCCATCAGAGCTCACTCTCCATGCAGTGTCCATGGGCACCCTCCCAGGGCCACCAGGGAAGGGATGCTGGATTAGAGGGAATGAAGGTTGCTGTCAGAATTCCTGCTCTGAAACCCAAACTCCTCTCTCCTGGATGGTTTAGAAATAGCCTTGTTTGAGAGCCAAGCCCCTAGAATCGCCTTGCCCAGATTCTACATCCCCTAAAGGGTGGTGATACAGCCAATGGAAGTGAGCATTTTTGGCCTGGGAAGCATGGGACCATTGAGAGTATGGGGCAGTCATTTTAACATAGTTTGGGATATGTGGCTGGCTCAGTTGGTGGAGCATGCGACTCTTGGTCTTGGGGTCGTGAGTTCAAGCCCCACATTGGGGGTAGATTTTACTTAAAAAATAAAAAAATGACATCTTATTGAGGGTCTGCCCGCCTCCCTCTAGAGGTCTAGCTGGACCTCCCGTGCTCTCTGCAGGTGTGGCAGAACCAGCTCCTCAGTCAGCAAGCTGTGTGCTGCATGTGGGGCAGGACATGTAGAGAGATCTGATAGTGTCCCTGCCAAGGAGCTTATGACTTTGTCAATTTAAAGGGTATGTTATAAAATGGTAACTGCTAAGAAAGCTCTGTCAGGTGGTTTGGACCAGCTGATCCCTAAAGCATGAGCAGAGAGAGGGGGTGCCAGTGTTTAGGGGGTTCAGAACACTCTTGGGACTTGGGCAGTTGAAGAAGGCTCCCCAGAAGAGGGGGGTTAAGTCATTCTTTGAAGTATCGTTGAGACTTTGGTAAGTGGAAGAGCAGGGGGAGGACATTCCAGGCAAGGAACTTCAAGTCCCAGGGCGAAGGCCGGAGGCTGAAGTGCACAGGGAGGGTCTGCAGTCAGGAATCCCTGTGATGGAGTCACAAAGCAGCGAGGACTTATAGGAGAGAGTGGAGACAATCTGAGCTTGATTTGGAGATGCCTTCATACAACAGTGAGCTACTCCCTGACAAAGTCCCTCAGATTCCAGCCAGCCACTTCATGGCTCCGGGCGCTCCCTGGTTCCTGTGCTACCCCAGGGGGCTGCGGAGTGGGGCCATCAGTGGGCCACCTGGGGGTGTGCTCCTTCCTAACAGTCTTGGTGGAGAAGGAGCAGTGACGTGGGAAATCCAGATTCCAAATTCCAGTCATTTCTATTGGGGTGTGATGTTTTGGCAGGAGGTTTATTCTCTGAATATGTTCTCTTTGACCTGAAATTAAAAGATTCTCTGGGTAGACACATAGTGACTCAGGCAGCAGGAAACTCAGACCGTACCAGGGAGCGGGAAAGCCTGCCTGCCAAAGCTGCCCCATGGGGGAGTTAAACGTTTACTTGAGGGGCACTTGGGTGGTGCCGTCAGTTGAGCATCCGATTCGTGGTTTCTGCTCTGGTCGTGATCTCAGGGTCATGGGATCGAGCCCAGCCCTGGGCTCTGCGCTCAGCACAGAGTCTGCTTGAGATTCTCTCTCCCTCTCCCTCTGCCCCTCCCACTCATGCTCCCTCTCTCTCAAATAGATAAATCTTTAAAAAAGTTTACTTGAAAGGATCCAACCCACACAGTTAGGTGATTCCCTTTCTCCCCGCTCCTCAGAATCTCTGCCATCACCTCTAAGAAACATCACGCACAAACGTTTATTTATCACTTACTCAATGTATGCAGCCCCCTGTGTTTTATAATACATATGAATCTCATTCTACAACATGGGCTCCAAGAAATGTTTTTTTTTCCCTTCAAAATAAAAACTCACTTTTCTAGGGGCACCTTCTAGTCAGCTTTGTGGGAACTTAAATTTCAGTCCTTCCTGGGGCTTTCCCCTTGTCCCCAGTTCCACCATGGCTGTGAAATGGTTCTGATGGTCCTACAAAGTCTAGAACATTGGGAGAAGTCCCTCTGGTCTTGGGAACATAGGGAAACCCCCTCAAATGTCCTTACCCTGGTCCCTGTGGTTCCTTGGAGGCTTCTCTGCCTGTCCTGGACAGTGAAGGGGGGGGTGTCTTAGCTGAAACGCTGTGCCCAGTGCCAAGCATCCAGTCTCCCTGTCCTGCCCCAGCCTCAGGTGCTGCAAGAGAACAGGTTCTTATTTCACTTAAGATCCAGCAACAAGCTGGGCCCTCCCTCACCTTGCAGAAAGCTCCCCAAACCTCCCTCACATTGGGCTGCTTGGGTCTTCCCCATTCAACAGCTCTTTCCTCCCTCTCTTCCTCTTCTGGAACTTTCTTTATATAATCTCCCTTCCAGATCACTGGAAGCCCTGCTGGCTTCTTCTACCCAAGGATGGAGAAATAAAATTTTAATGCCTTTCAGCTTTTTCTTACTAATGCATCTTTTTAAAGTTAGATAATGCAGGAGCACCCGGTTGGCTCAGTTGGTTAAGCATCCAACTCTTGATCTGGGCTCAAGTCATGATCTCAGGGTCATGAGATGGAGCCCCACATAGGGCTCCCCGCTCTGCGCAGAAGTCTGCTTGTCCCTCTTCCTCCCCCTGCCCCTCCCCCACTCTCTCCCCCATCTCAAAAAAAATAAATAAGTAAATAAATAAATAAATAAAATCTTTAAAGCTAGATAATGCAGAGGACACAAAGAAGGGCAACACAGTTTCCTGCTACCAGTGAGCTGGGTCTATTTGGGGAGACACACAGAAAGGATGGATGCTGGTCATGGCCCAGCCCACTGTGCCGCACACCTTCAAGAAGCACAGGGGCTCGAAGCATGTCACCAAGTTGAAGTGCTGCTTCCTAGCCTCTCTATTCTTGCACCCTTGTCTTCCGCTTCTCTCTGACCCATGTACCTGGGGCTGATTTCTAGGTCACTAAGCCCGGAAGCTGGATGGATGTCTATGAAGGGTCTACCACTGTGATCCTCGGGGTGACCTCCTCAGTGCCCTCCCTGCCACTCCCCAACGTCCTCCTGATGGCCAACGTCACCTGGCCCCAGGGTCAGTTTTCCTCCTGGACCACACCTGACTGTGCTCCCGTGGTCACCCTCAGCAGGTAAAGAAAGACTGGAGGGAGGGGCCGGAAGGGGCCAGAAGACCACATTCTTTTGCAGCTGGATTTTAGATAAAAGGACAGTGTGGTCATGTATAAACTATGTAGAATTCCCTCATTAATTTAACAAGCATTTCTTTAGGGTCTGGGTGTACCAGGCACTGTGCTTGGTGCTGTGGGGTACAGAGCACGCGTCCCTGTCTCAGCCTGGTCTTGAAGGATCTTGGGCTTCCATTTATTTATTTATTTGTTTGCTTATTTATTTATTTATTTTGATTTATTTATATTTATTTTGATTTATTTACATTGACTTATTCATTTATTTAATATTTATTTATATTGATTTATTTATACATATTCTTTTTTTTTTTAAGACTTTATTTATTTATTTGAGAGAGAGAGAGAATGAGAGACAGAGAGCATGAGAGGGAAGAGGGCAGAGGGAGAAGCAGACTCCCCGCCGAGCAGGGAGCCTGATGCGGGACTCGATCCCGGGACTCCAGGATCATGACCTGAGCCGAAGGCAGTCGCCCAACCAACTGAGCCACCCAGGCGCCCTATTTATACATATTCTTTACTTATATTTTTATTTATATATTTACATTGTCTTCATTTATATTTATAGACATACAAATTTATTTACATTTATAGACTTAGGGCTTCCGCCCCCCAAAAAAGGTGAGGGGTATGAAAGTCAGTTGGGATTATGGAGTGTTAAAATTTAAAAAAAAAAAAATAATACCAGATGTATAGGACATCCATCCTTCTTTACTCTGTCAACACAGTTAACCAGGATATAGGGAGAAGATCTGGAAATGGAGTCGGAACACCTCAGTTCCAGGTCCTACTTACGCAGATCTAAACTTGGGCAAATCAGTTAGCTGTTCTGACCCTCAGTTTCAACATCTGTAAAATGGAATTAATATCTTTCATCAAAGGGTTGTTGTGAGGATTGAATGAGATGTTACACATCGACTATCTGCCATTATTATTGATGTGGGCAGGTTCTTTAGTGACAAAGGCCCTGGAAGTCAGAGAAGAGTCGGTCTTAGCAATCGTTCCCACTTCAGGGCCACGAGTATCCTCCTGGGGCATCCCCCAGGCAGTGGTGGGAGCCTAGTGAGGTTGGGCCAAGCACTAGGTGGGCACAGCATGGTTGATTGAACCGGTGAGCTCCTCCCTATGGGAATTTCCTGATTGTGTCTAGGATTCTCCCCCTGAAGTTTGTGGAGCTACAAATCTATGACCGGCTCCAACGCATCCTGCGGGTTAGGACAGTGACTGAAAAGATCTACTACCTGAGGCTCCACGAAAAACACCCAGAAGCTGTGTTTCAGTTCTGGATCCGCTTGGTGAAAATTCTGCAGAAAGGTCTGTCCATCACCACCAAAGACCCGAGAATCCAGTTCACTCACTGCCTGGTGCCCAAAATGTCCAACAGCTCCACTAGAACAACAGTAAGTGGGGCCTCCCACCAAGACCCGCTGGGGTGAGGGGGGATGGGGAGCACAGCGCCTCAGAGCACTGCTGGATATTAAAGTCTAGCGTTGTAGGGGCAGACTTCATTTTCAAGGGCCAATGACACATACACACCAAACCAAGGTCTACAAACATAAAAAGCAAATTCATTTACTTTTCCTAAAAAAGAGCTATAAAGTACTTAGCTCACTTAAAAATTGCTTTCTGTTGTTTTTATCCCCCCAGTATATAAAAGAATAATGTTCACTGAAGAAAATTAGAAAATTACAAAAAAATCGCTCCCACTTCTCTCCAACCCCAAGCAATCACTTGGAACATTCTGGCATACTTCCTTCCAGTCTTCCGTTTTATTTATTTTCTTTTTTTGTTTGATTTTTATTAGGTTTTGGCATTAAAGTTATACTGTCTTCTTCATATCAACTGAAGAATATTGCATGTGCTTTCACATTTTTCAGTATTTTAAAACTTTGAAAACATTTATTCTTTAAAGGTTAGAGGCTAGATTAAACTTGGAGTCCATCTAATCCAGGTATTTCTTTCTTTCTCTTTCTTTCTTTCTTTCTTTCTTTCTTTCTTTCTTTCTTTCTTTCTTTCTTTCTTTCTCTTTATATTATTATTTTTTCTTTTCCAAGCTTTTATTTAAATTCCAGTTAGTTAGCATATAGTGTAATACTAGTTTCAGGTGTAGAATTTAGTGATTCATCATATACCTACAACACCGGGTGCTCATCACAAGTGTCCTCCTTAATCCCCATCATCTTTTAACTCATCCCTGCCCCCCCACCTCCCCTCCAGCAACCCTCAGTTTGTTCTCTATAGTTATCAGTCTGTTTCCTGGTTTGCCTTTCTTTTTTTTCCCCCCTATGTTCATTCATTTTCTTAACAGTCTTCCATTTAAAATTAATTTTTAATTATATATTTGAGGATATTAAATATATGTTTCTGAATGTTGCTGTTTTTTCAACTTAGATTATATCAGAGGCATTTTCCCATTTCTTTTTAAAGTTCTTTACGCACATCATTTTGATAATTCCATGCTGTTCAGTAGTTGTATGAATGCATTAAAATTCATATTGCCATTCTCCTATTATCAGCCATTTAGAGTTGTTTCTAACTTTTCATTACTGTAAGCAATTCTAAAACAAGCATTTATGTGTATGGTCCACATTTCTGATTGTTTTCTCAGGATAGATTATTAGAAGCAGAATTCAAAGGGTATGAACATTTTTAAGGCTCTTTATACATATGGCCAGATTATTTCCAGGAAGCTCATGCCAAAGTATACTCGCTCCAATGAGTGTGTCACTGTATCCTTATCACATTTGAGAAGTACACATTTTAATAAATGTTCTAACACGATAGGTAAAAAAAGTAGCAGCTCTTTGATTTTCAGTGAGTTTGAACATTGATATATACATATATTTCTTTTTGCATTGTCTATTGTGTTCTTTGGTTATTTTTCTATTGGCAGCTTTGTGTTTTTCTAAATTGATTTGTAAAATAAAGCTTTTTATACATCAAGAATTTTAACCCCTTGGGACGCCTGGGTGGCTCAGTCCTTAAGCGTCTGCCTTCGGCTCAGGTCATGATCCCAGGGTCCTGGGATCCAGCCCCGCATCGGGCTCCCTGCTCGGCAAGAAGCCTGCTTCTCCCTCTCCCATTCCCCCTGCTTGTGTTCCCTCTTTCGCTGTCTCTCTCTCTCTGTCAAATAAATAAATTATATCTTTAAAAAAAAAAAATCAGGGGTGCCTGGGTGGCTCAGTTGGTTAAGCAACTGCCTTCGGCTCAGGTCATGATCCTGGAGTCCCGGGATCGAGTCCCGCATCGGGCTCCCTGCTCAGCGGGGAGTCTGCTTCTCCCTCTCCCGCTCCCCCCTCTTGTGCTCTCTCTCTCTCAAATAAATAAATAAAATCTTCAAAAAAAAAAAAAAAAGAATTTTAGCCCCTTAGTCACAAGTTTCTGCAAGGATTTGCTTTTCCCTTTCAGTTTATTTGAGGCTCCTGCCCACCCCCATGCCTTTTGACACACAGAAGGCTTGTCCCAGACCTGCTTAGGATAGAGGCACAGAAAGAGCTTGATCAGCTGGATTGCCTAACACCTTCAGGTTTCAGAATCTATTTTAAGATTTTATTTGACAGAGAGAGAGAGACAGAGAGAGAGGGAACACAAGCAGGGGGAGTGGGAGAGGGAGAAGCAGGCTTCCCGTGGAGCAGGGAGCCCAATGCGGGGCTCAATCCCAGGACCCTTGGGATCATGACCTGAGCTGAAGGCAGATGCTTAACCGACTGAGCCACCCAGGCGCCCCAAGGTTTCAGAATCTAAACACTTTCCTCCTCTCATTTTAGTTGCAGTCTTTAGGTATGCTCTCACTAACTTCCAAAGTCAGCCTGACAGCTCTGCTGGCCGGGTTTCTAAATGTTCCCGAGCAGTAGCCATAGCAGCCCATCAGAGAGGGGAGGAGGCGATCCTGCCAGGGGCCCAATGTGGTCTGATGATCCTGGAGCTTAATGCTTAAGGAACAGGTGCCCGGGTGTAGGCTGGAAGATTCAAGTGAGTTCCTTCAAAGTTCTGGCCCGAGGAGGCCACAAACTCTTAGAGTGCAGACCTGGTCCTCTGACTGTAAATTTCTCCACCCAGCCTGAAAGCAGCCTCTCGTCATCCACTCAGCCCAGCGAAAACTTCATGCTGTTGGTGGCTGAGCAGACCAGTGACAGTTTCTCAAATATCTCAGGAAGACCCCAGCTCACAGCAGACAGGTGGGTCATCCAGGCAAGAACCTGCAACATCCCTTCCTGTGGCACTGAGCTGTGGGTGGGGTCAGTGACACCCTCCGCCAAACTAGCTCGGTTCCTTCTTTTTATTCTAGACAATTATGCGTACAGCTTCTCCCCTCAGTTTTATTATAAGCCTGTCCTTGAAAACAGGGTCTGTGGCTGATTGGTCTGAATATTTCCTAGGCAAACTGCAGTGTTTTCATAAACAGTGCTCAATAAAAGGGATGAGGGATGAGTAAATTAATTCAAAGAAGGGTAAGCTAATAAAGCAGGCTCAGGGAGTTAGATATTGACTGTCTCCAGTCCCAACTCACCAGGGTCCCCTGGGTGAGACAATTCTGAGTTCTCTTTGCCTCACTTATCTGTTCTGTAAAATGGACAGAATAGACAGTAACCCAAAGCAGAAATGGCTCCAACACCATTTGCTAAGTAATTGTATGGGACTCTGTGCAACAAGTGATGGAAAACAAAAGCAAATCATGCAACCAATACATTGAACAAGTACGACCTGAAGGGTATCATCAAAATGTAAATTTATTTTTGTCTTCCCTTTATATTTTTTTCAGTGGGAGAAGCTTTCTTCTTGCCCCGAGATAAAAGCTGGTTCTCTGACAGGCCCCATAAGCATATGGGCTCCCCCTTAAAATATAAAAGATCCTTTGGTCCCTTTAAATTGCAAAAGCAGCATCAATTCTGAAATTAAAATGTCTGGTGCCTGATAATTATCAAAACTGAACTGTTCACAGCTTCCCTCAACCTGGCCTCGTGTTCAGATGGTCCTCCATAGTGGGGACTGGGTTGTCGCTCCTCTTGTTCTGTTTCCTAATTTTAAAGCTCACTTTTTCTCTTATGAGCTTTCTTGGGTTCTTTGGAGTCCCATACCTGACACTCCCCCACCCCCACCCCTCACTGCAGCTCTGGTGATGCTCTGACGTCTTCCTTTCATCTGGCCACCACCCCCCTCAGGCTCCGGCTCTGCGGGCATCCACACCACCCAGGCACTAGCTGTCATAGCCCTTTAAGGGAGTCCTCTTGGGCAGGGCTTATTTTAAAGCTAAAGACAGGAGACAGCAACACAGCCCCCCAGAATCATAAGTACTAGGCCATAAACACTTCACAAAAACTACACAAGAGGGAGCTCTGGAGCCCAAACCAGAAAGCTACCTTGACCTACCCTCGTTCCAGAAGGTTCAGGAAAACCATTTCACATTAAAAATAACCGTCAGAAAAGGATAGTAATCAAACCCCCACACAAAATCATATAAGGAAAAAAGGAGTATATGAAGCATAGCAAAAGCTTACAGACAACAAAAACACACTAAAAAGACATGCCTTGCAAAACAAATGAAAACTACAACCCAGCATTTCAAAATGAGCTGAAAGAAATTAAGAAAGTGATAGAATATATGAAAGAACAACACAACTCAGAAGATTTATAAATGTGGTGATAAAACCGAGGAAAGAATCAGACATTTTTAAAGAAACGATTATTTCCAAAACGAAGCCTAAACCAGAGAGAATACAAGAGCAAACAAAGCAGATAATGCCTTAAGAGAAATGAAAGGATAAAGGGAGAGCTTAAAGAAAGAAAATAAGCATGTGTCTCACTTAGAATCAAAATTTTAAGAAATTTAGCTACACTCTGTGTTTTTCTAGACAGACTAAGTGGCTGTGACTTTTTGTTAAGTTATTACTGTTTTTGGAGAACTGTCTTAAGGTTTTCTTTGGTTTTCTGCTGCTGCCTGGCAGGTTATAGTGGGCCTCAGGCTGATCCCAGTGGGCTCAGATCTTGCCTTTGAGTCTTACTTAACACATGAGGTTCTCAACACATAAAAGCAACACTTAAGGTTTGGAGGGGAGTCTGTTCCAGTCCAGCAGAGCAGGCCTTAGCTTGAGTCTCCCTCCTGCTTGGCTTTCTCTGTTCAAGTCACTCTTGATACATCCCACCACATACACATGTTGTCACTGGCCATCATTGCCACGTTCCAATCTATGCTGAAGGCACCTGTACTGGAAAAGACATAATTTAAAAACGGTTTTTAAATTAAATTCTTAACAATGCTTTCTTTTTCTTTTATTGCTTACAATGACCCCCAAATTCCTGGGCTCCAATAGTAACACCAACGTTGCCATCAAAACAGACAAATTGGACAGCTACAAGATACCTTCCCCAGTGGCATCTCCAATCAACTTGAATATACCCATGAGAGCCGCCTTGAGCCACAGCCTCTGGGAACAAGAGAATCCAGATGGGCACCTCCTGCAAGCTCCTGTTGCCAGTTCCCTAGGAGAGAACTTTTTGGGACCCTGACACCTAGCCCAAACAGGGTGATCTTCCCTAGCTTCATTCCGTGAACTTGCAACAACCTCCTATAATGCTGTTTTCCCACTGTGGGCCAAAGACCATGGGAGAGGTATGATGATGTTTATAACAAAGTGCTGCTGTACTTCCACCAATAAACCTCCAAGTGAGTTCCTAATTGTTATAAGTTGTGCTCTGTGGGGCTTCGGGCTGGGGATGGACTAATTAGGAGCAGGAGCTCACCCCTTAGGGAAATAAGTGGGGAAAATGTTCTGTCTACTCCTTTGAAACCCCAAAGCAGCCAAGAAAAGCCCAGAAATCCAGTCCAGAGGAAACAGCCAGGGCAGAAACCCAAGGTCCTCTTTCAGAGGGGTGGGGGGAACCAGAGGCAGGACTGCTACCAGCCCAAAGGGAAAGAAATCTTGAGAACTATGCTGACCAGTTGGGAGATAACTTTGTGTGGCCCCACTTACCTCAAGCAAGAAATTGAGTCTTTACCACCCCAGTGCCCATGTTCGTGTAAAGCTGTGAAGGCTCACCCTGGGCCATGCAAACCTTGGTTGCTAATAAAGACATGGCTTCTGGTAAGGATGACGATGACCACCTGTCAATGGAAGGCCTACCTGACTTGACTCTTCCCACCCTGGACCTAATGAAAGCAACCTGGAAGACACAGTAACTGTGTGTGCATATGAGGGGCGAGCAGGAGCGTGGGCCAGCCTCTGGACCAATGGCAGATATTTACTTGGAAAATACTACCACAATATGCAGAACTATTTATTAGGTCCCTGCTAGGTGTCAGACACTGGGCGGGATGCTGGGTAAATTCGAGAGAGGGAGAGAGACAGGTTACCTGCCTTGAGGGAGGATGTAGGAGAGATACTGAGCCCTATTCTGGAGACACAAGAAAGCCATTAAGGTTGACATGGTGTTTGAACCACGGGTCTACAAATCAAGGCTGGAAGCCCTTCTTTCCTAGAGTTCACATGAGAGGAGATAGAGTGACGAGGGAGGAAGAACATGGCCGTCCTCCCCTGTGCACAATCAGGTGGGCTGAGCACTAAATCCTGGCCCGACCGGGTCAGAAATGACAAGAGCTGAGAGGATGCTTGATGTTTGTGGGTTTCTTCTTGTCTCCAATAAAAATTAAAACAAAACACATTTCCTTCCAGCCTGTTACAGTCAAGCTGAGCATTGCTGGTGCTGGTGAGGAACATCTAGCAGCAGAACTTAGAGGCTGATGTGCAGGGTGACCTTCCTTGCTTCCCAATTTATGCCTGTGGTCCTAGGATCATTATCGATATGTACCCACGCCATTCTCAAAGTGTCCCTGCACGAATGGCCAACCACTCGACTGATACACGTGTTTACAAACATTTAGGAGATCCCCCACCCTCACTTCTGTTGCCTTGGTTTACGACTCCATCCGCTCTCACCTAGATTACCGTAATAACCCCAGTGGCCTCCCAAGCTCTCATGGTTGTAACAATAGCAGCTAACTTCATTAGCAACTTACCATGTGCCCAACCCTATGCTAAGACCTTACAAAGATCACTTAATCCATACAACTCACTGGGAGGAGATCCTCTTGCTAACACATTTATGTGAACGTGAGCCACAGAAAGGTTCAAGAACTTGCTCAAGGTCATATAGGGAGTAAGCAGCAGGGCCAGGACTTGAACCCAGTCTAACTCCAAAGTCCGATGGCTCTCTGATTTCGTCCCAATCCATTTCCCTTCTGCACTGCTAAAGAGCAATCTTTCTGAAACATAAATCTGACTACAGCCTCACCCTTGATAAAAAACAAACTCTCTGACAGGAAATGACCAGGCCTACTTCTCCAGCCGCTCCACTTTCCAGAGGCTGCTTCCCTTGCACCTCCTGCGTCCACCACACTAAACGCCCCATGCACTTCCGCTTCCGTACTGCAAGGGTGTGGCACGTCCTTCACTCGACGCACGTCTCGTTCCTTGCGCGTCTACCTGTTGCTCTCGCGATACTTGTCCTTCCTGCGGGAGCTCTGCGCGGCTGTTTACCCTGCGTGTGCCTGTTTCAACCTTTCTCACACCGTTACAGTTGTTTACGTGGCCATTGCTTTGGTGGGACTAGGAGCTCTCTAAGAACAGATACCGCTTTGTATTAGAGTTCTTTACCCAAAAAAGGAGCTGACTCTAATTTAAACCAAAGGGAATTTATTGGAAGGGTAGGAGTTAGCTCACAGACTCGACGGGACAGCTGAAGAGCCATTGCTGAATGTGCGGACATCAGAAGAGCTTCGTGGATTCAGGTAAGGGTGGCTCATCAAACATCTCATCCGATGCTGCAGCAGGCTGGGGGGTTCCTCAAGGGAAATGGAGGGGTGCCACAAAAGAACGGCTAGGAGATCGGATGTCTGGCGGCTGATAATAACAAATGTCCACCACAATGTGACTCTCTGCTCTCTGTTCAGAGAGGCGCTCTGCCCCGGGCCTCAGGCATCTCCGCACATCCTTGCTAAGTAAGCCAGATTTCAAGGCCCAAGTGGGTAGTTTTGCTCACTTGCATGTTTCGGGAGAGGGATGAAGAGTTTAGACAGATTGCCTTATACTTTGTGTGTTCCTTTGAAACAGTTTTTTACTCAATACTGTGCCTGAAGGATTCCATTCTGATGGGCAGACTATACAGTAGCATTTGGGGTCCCCTGTCGGTGTTAACTCAGAGTCAGTAGCGCATAGTCCCTGAAAGTCTCTGCATTTCCCTTTTAGGAGGGCATAGTATCACTGTAAATGGCCCAAGTTCTCTTCGGGATGCCTAGGAGGAACGCTCATGGTAGGCGGTTTAGGGTGCTTGTAATAGGTCCCTGGTTAGGGATCCCAGCCTTCCCTTCATCCAAGGAGCTGGGGTGTGAGCACCGGGTGAGGACTGAGGAGTGTGGGCAGCCCTGCTTCTCTAACTGTATCCATTAGAGCCGGCTTTCATTTGATGATACAAATGACCTGAGTCTTGCCTCTCCATTTTATTCCTAGAGACCCTAACTCAGTTCTGATCTTTTAGTTGTCAACAGCCAACTCTCACTAGTTCAAGCATAAAAGGAACAGCTCAAAGGATATCCAGTAGCTGGAAAGGCGAGAGAGAAATGGCTTGAAGTCTTACGCAGCCCCGACAAGAAGCAACAGCCCAGCCAGGCAGCAGGACCGCTCCAACAAAGACCCCGTGCCCCACTGTTGCACGCACACTTCAGCTCCCACCAGTGGCCCTGGCCTGGAGGCTGTCGTCCTGGCCTTCTAAAATCAGATGCTTCTACTGCTACCTGCCCCGCCCCGAGAAACATCTCCACGCAGCACTAGCTTCCTTATGTTGCTCACACCCAAGTCAAGGTCTCATGCGGGTAAGTCTGCTTGGCAGAATTCAGCTTACAGGATGCACCTGAGCTGAAAGGGCGGCTGAGAAAGTAAGGTCTGGCTTCCTGAGGAGGTGAAACTCATGATGCATAAATCCCCAAAAAGAAGTACAGGCAGCCAGAAGGCATGAAAAATGTCCCCAAATACCCTTGATTAATTAACTACGGACGCAGAATCTCGAAAGGTCAAACCATTCTCAGCTCTGATTATCATGCATAATTATGCTTCTGGTCCTTGAGTGCCCCCAGAATTCTCTTTTTTTCCACTGAGATTACAGAGCCCATTCGCTAGCTTAAAGAGAGCCTCTTAAACATTCTAGTGCTTTCTCAAAACCTTGAAGAGATGTGCAAGTATTCAGGACCTTCTAAAGGGGCAGTTTCAGGCAAGGGCAGCAGTAGGTACATGATAGATCCAAGTCAACTTTCTTGTCTCCCAAAGGCTTTGAATTCCTTTTTCTACATCGCTTCAAGGAATTTCTGGCCACTCATTGTTCTCTAATGTGAACCAGGTTGAATCCAGCTTTGCTGCAGCCAACACAGCAAACTGTAAGAAATATACAGCGCTATGAGAAATAGCACAATTATGATGTAATCTCTGGTGAAAGCATCCACATCAGTAAAATCAGCCCTCTCTAAAAGTATGCTCTCCCTTCTTGATGGAGTGCCTTAAAAGTTATTCTCATCAGTATTCGCAGACTTTACAGACAGAAATTGCCCAATTCCTTCAATATGTTTTCCTGGGTGAATACTTTCTCTTCCCTATGCTAATTCCCATACTTAACCTACTCACACCCGCTGGGGCATTGTGGCAATGAATTCTGGTTACTGGCCTAGTAACACGGAGGGGAATGTTCAGCACCCTCCTGCAAGGAGGGAAAGGCTTCCTCTCCCATGGGATGGGCAGTGGGGAGTGTTCAAAAGGACCAGAGGTTTGGGTCTTTCGGGTCTTCTCTGCTATCCCTGTTGCAGTTGATGGAATCTCTCCTGTTACATTGTGCCTCTTTTACACAAGAGACTGGATGGAAGCTGTGACCTCGACAGCCTTCGTAATTCAACAACCGAGACCCAAATCTCAATGTTTTTAACTTTTGTTTTGGGTTTTTTTTTTAAGAGTTTTATTTATTTATTTGACAGAGAGATAAGCGAGAGAGGGAACACAAGCAGGGGGAGTGGGAGAGGGAGAAGCAGGCTTCCTGCAGAGCCGGGAGCCTGATGTGGGGCTCGATCCGAGGACCCTGGGATCATGACCTGAGCCGAAGGCAGACGCTTAACAACTGAGCCACCCAGGCGCCCCTAACTTTTGTTCTTTTTAAGTTACTCAGTGTCATCATAAGCACCCTTTTTTTTTTTAAGATTTTATTTATTTTTAAGAGAGAGAGAGAGATCATGAGTGGTGGGGGGGGGCAGAGGGAGAAGCAGACTCTCCGCTGAGCAGGGAGTCCGGATGCAGGACTCGATTCCAGGACCCTGAGATCATGACCTGAGCAGAACCGACTGAGCCACCCAGGTGCCCCGAAGCCCCCATTGTGCTCCAGTGTCCTGGAATTCATTCCCTTTATATTGTCAAAGGCAGCAATTACCTAGTTGCAGCAGATACCCTCTGTCATCAAATGGTCCTAATTACCACCAACTGGTCATTTAATGAGCCGTGGACCACTGACAGTCAAGTTCTCACCCCAGCATATGGATGGAATCTTGCTGCATTCAATGCCATCTTGTTGGGGTAATAAACTCCCTGGGGACCTATAACCTGCAACCCCCTCTCTGGTACGAGTCTGTATATTGGAGTTCTTCAGGTGCAAGCAACAGGGATGACTCTGAGGCAGAAAGAGCTTGGGTTGTGTGTCCTGTCCGCTTGAGAACGGCTTGCAGAATCAGAGAGGCCGTTGAAGAAATGGGGAAGGCTGGAAAGGGCAGACCCAGGGCAGCGCCCAGGGCATGGATTTAATCTACACTCTGTTTGGGACGCTCGCTGTAATGAATAAGTGGCTGCCATATTCTCTGTCCTTGTGTTTATCCATTTTACACTCAATGTCCCTGGAATCCTAGCTTGGGCCTTGGGTCTCCATGTGCCTGTCATCTTCCCTTCTCCCTCCAAATCCACTCCTCCTTTCTCCCTGTTCTCCATGACCCAGAACTCCTCTGGTTCCTGCCTCTTCTCTAAGCTGATCCGTCTAGGCTACATCGAAGGGCCCATTGCCTCTGGAGTCCAGGTGGGTTTGGCCGGTGGGAAGTCCAATGGGGTGAAGACAGTGACTCCTTGCAGTCACAGAAGGTGTGATGTAGGAAAGATGTTAGGGTTTGGAGCTGATGGTCAAGAAAGAATTCTTGAGACATCTTTGGTGCAAAAAGGTGGTGTTATTAAAGCCCCAGGACAGGACCTGTGGGCAGAAAGAGCTGTACTGGGGTCCCAAGGAGTGGCTGATTATATACTCTCAGGTTGGGAGGGGGTTAGGGATAGCCTAAGTCTCTAAGGAATTTTGGAAGCAAGGTTTCCAGGACCTTGAGGAGGCTAGCTATTGTTGGGAAAAGGTCATTTATTACCATCTAATAAAACCTTAGTCATGAAACCCTTTAGATGTATATCAGTGAGTCGTATGCTTGGGGGATGATTGCCAACATGTATCTTGGGGGATAGAGATAAAGGAAGTTTCCAAAGGAACTTTTACATGTTAAAGTAGACTCATGGGATCTTGGTGGTCATGCTAAGATTGACTTTTGCCCTTAGCAAAGTACTTAAATGGAAGCAGCTGAGTACCTGGAGGAATGTCACTCTGCCTGTTTCAAGGACTTGTCGGTGGGCTATAGGTAGTAAGGAAATTTAATTTTTCTTTTGCCTTTGTTTCCCACATCAAGGTGGGCTGTGTCCCTGAACAGAAAGAAACTGCTTGGTTCATGGTGGCCTCTTCTACTCAACGCTTTCCTAGTTCCAGAACCACTCCCTCTGCTAACTCTTCAGGTCCCTTGTAAGGACTTAGCTGAATTCTCTATACTGAGCAGGAATATCATCCCCCTTACTCCTGAAGTTTCCTCTCGGTACGTTTCCATCCACGGACCCTCACCCTGTTCCAGAGCCATGACCAGGCCGCCCTGGCTACATGACCCTTGCTGGGCTTTCTTCCAGTCTGTTGCTTCTCTTTGGGCTCCTGCCTATCCCCCAAGCCTGGTTCCCTTAACTTCCATTTGTGGTAAAGACCCGCCAATAGTTTTCCGATGAATTCCCTGTGGCTTAGGTTGACCTGTCAGTTTCTGTGCCTACAACCATGAAGTCTAACTGATGTGGTGCTGTTCCCAGAAAAGTGGATGCTGTGTAGGCAAATATATCCGCCATCGGTATCTTAGTCATTTGTGTATCCTCCAGTGCCTGGTGCCTGCTAGACACCTAATTAAAGGGTGTTAAATAAACCCATTTCTGCCATAGCCGGCTCTGGTGCCCCACAGTGTCCTTCCCAACCCCCCACACCTCCCAGCACGGAAGAAACTATGGCCTTTGCTGAATGGACTTATCATTAAAACTGAGGTCTCAAACTCCTTCTTTCTTTTTTTTTTTTTTCCAGAAACTATTTCTTAGGTGAAAATCACACCGCATAAGGGATTAGTAAAGCTTTTAATAGCCAATAAACACACAATTTAAAAGAGAAAAGAAACAAAACATTGTGATCCAGAGTCAATTAGAGCCCACCAGGATAGGACATCTGCGAAAACAATCGCCAAAACAATGTAAGAATGCATCTTAAAGTTTCGGAAATGGAATTCAGAGAAAATGTCCTCAAGGAATAATACCAAGACAGACCCACTTGAAATGTGCGATGGACTGAGATGAAAGCCTCACAAATGCCCTTATAAATCTTAAGAAAAATAACAAACAGCTGGTCAGTTAAGACTCTAGTGTTACTGGGCGCCTGGGTGGCTCAGTCGGTTGAGCGTCTGCCTTCAGCTCAGGTCATGATCCCAGATTGAGCCCCACATGGGCTCCCTACTCGGCTGGGAGTCTGCTGCTCCCCCTGCCCCTCACCCCTCACGCGCACGCGCTCTCCCTGTCTCTCAAATAAATAAATTTTACAGGAAAAAAAAAGACTGTAGTGTTACTGATGAGACAGCAGGTAGAGGAAGGAGAGATCTCGGGGACACGGGAAATGTAGAAATGAGTGGTCCTGACCTGCATCCTGAGGGTACCAAGGGATTCCCTGAAGAACTCTCAGAACCAAGGGCCTTTGATTTAGAAAACACAACAAAACACAGAGGTCTTATCTTCAGCAAGAATCCCCCTGACTCCTGAGATTTCCGCAGTGATTTTCCATCTGGAGGACCGCTCCCCCCCCTTCCTGCCCCTGGGCTATACATTCCCACTTGCCCCCAGCTGCATTGGGAGTTGAGCCCCAGGCCTCTTCCCGCTGCAAAATTCCATCACAATGGTCCCTCTACCGATTGTGATAGCCTCCCCCTGCCCCACCGACGCAATAAAGTCTTCCTTACCCTGCGTAAAAATCAAACCAAAACAGAAAACAACCGGGAAGCCCATAAGGGTTCAATCTTGAGAAGTCCACAAGACTATGGTTTCAAAACGGAAACAACTGCGAGCCCTGGTAAAGCTTCATAAACAAGCATTTAAAAATGAACGTTTAGAATTCTTAAGGCTGGGCACCTGGGTGGCTCAGTTGGTTAAGCGACTGCCTTCGGCTCAGGTCGTGATCCCGGGGTCCCGGGATCGAGTCCCGCATCGGGCTCCCTGCTCGGCAGGGAGTCTGCTTCGTCCTCTGACCCTATCCCCTCTCATGTGTTCTCTCTCTCTCCTTCTCTCTCTCTCAAATAAATAAAATCTTTAAAAAAAGAACTCTTTAAAAAAAAAAAAAAGAATTCTTAAGGCTAAGGCCACTTACAGAAGCTATAACTTGAATGGAAACAGCCCAGAATAATCTAGAGATGTTTTCAGAGGGGGCTGTTCTGGTTTTTGCTCTGTCTCGGACTCCTGCCTGACTTAGGATAGATTAATTTCCCCACTGGGGATGTGGATAATGTTTCTAATTATGCCCAAACAAAACACTGGTTTTGACTGTTAATATTTGCAATAGGAAACATACCACGTGTCCATGACGTGCAAAGAAATAGTCACAGATGGTTTATTCTAAAATGGTTTTACAACCCCCTGAAGTCTCAGGCACTTTGCCTTGCAAAAGAAGGAAAGGAATTTCTGTCACAACCATTCCCTCCCTTCACTGCCATTCAAGGGATATACCTAGATGCAAGAAGAATGTGACAGCTAGTGGTATGAAATTGTCACACGCCCTCAGGACGTTCCATCTGTAAATGCTTTGCATTTTTAAAAGTGTCTCCTCATCAGCAATCAAATGTGATTCTCATAATTGTATGAGATGGCTGCTTTTATGAACTATACTTCACAGAGGAGAAAAGTAAAACCCAGAACAGCTTGGCAGGAGCTTCAGGCAGCTCGTGATTCTCAAAGTCCAGAGGGCAGGAGGACAATAGCCTCTGGGCATCTCCTCACAGGCGTCCGTCCCCATCGTGCCCGTGCCTGTCAGCGTCCTCATGGAGACCTTTGGTTGCAGGCTCAGCGCAGCCAAGTTGCTAAGTCAAGGTGCCCGCCAGCCCCAAGAACCCGCTTGCTTTCATACGTCTATGTAGCAGAGCGGATAACTGCCACCAGGTGGCGCCCCACCGCGGCTGGGACCCCAGGGCTGGGGATTGGATCTGCAGCGCCCAACCCCGTGGCGGAGCAGGCTTATCTCAAGCATTTCATTAACTTCACTGTAACACCATTCCATCCCGATTAACTATTTGGGACCCCACTTATCAATTTATAGTGGAGTTTTACTGTTTTCGAGTAGCCAATTCAATACACCTTTACAGGTCTTTTTTTTTTTTTTTTTTTGTAACTACTGCGTTCTGGGTACAAGTTTCTGATTATATTTCATTTCAACCTCTAATAGAGTCATGCACCAGCATTTATATATTGGAACATATATTATTTTATTATAGTTTTTTTTCTTTTATATCTAACTAGGCTAGCATATCGTCTTTAAAAGAATATATATAGGTAAGTTTTAATTGCTGAATGTTATTTCAGAATGGTAAAGGGGAAGTTACAATGTATTAGTCATGAAAAGGGGATTTGGGTGTGACAAGGTTGAGAAGCACTATATTGGAGCTTTGACCTTTTCCTCAACATTGCCCTCCTGACTTTGATGATACTTTGACCACAACATTTAGCCTACTTCACTCTCTCCACTTTTTATTTTTTACCCCACCTCACCCTGAGGCTGCTCCTCGAAGCTGCTTTGCTCTGCTGGTCCCACACTTGCGCCCCAGGACTATCCCAGCCGTGCCATCACCCCCTCCTGAGGCTCTCTCCCGCCCCCTCCCCAGCCCCACAGCCACATCCTGCCAATTCGACCTTCACCCCAACTCACTTCTCATCTCCAGTTTCTTCTGGACTGTCTGTCCAGTGGGGAGGACCTGGGCTATGCTCTCTCCTGGCAGTGTTTAAAATGTCTTCTTCTCTAGTTGGGGGTATATCGTGTTCTCATGGGGTAATCTGTCAATTGAGCCTGAAGATCAGAAAAACAGAGAGCCCAGCTGAGCTTTTCTGCTTCTCCTGAGGTAGTGCTGTGATCGACAGGGGCTTCTCCTCTTGCAGATTTTTCTCTTGTTTTCTCTGAGCTGATTACTCACTCCCTCACGCTGCCTCCCTCCAATTTGGAGGGACAGATAGGAGTAGGTGTGGGTAATTTGTGAGAACACACACAATTTTATTGAATAGCTTTCCTTCTCTGTTATCAGACCATACCCAGATTTTCTGTTCTATTTTTTGGCCATGACTTAACCTCTTGTTAGGTTGCTACTAGTTAGATTTGGGGCATTAAAAAAACTATTAATGTATTTACTGTGGATGTCAGAGGGAGTAATTCTGTCACCTGGCTTCTTTGCAGAGGCTGCTGATTGTATACTGATAGCCTTCATCCTTAATTAATAAATAACAGAAACCCCCAGTTCTAGGTGGGCTCATGGCCATCCAGCTAAAAGCTACATTTCCCAGCTTCCCTTGCACCTGGGTGTGGCCATGTGACTGAATTCCGACCAATGGGATGTGAGCAAAAGTGATTATGCCATTTCTAGGTCATGCCCTTAAAAGGAATGAATGTGCCCTCCTCTCCCCCCTTCCCCTTCTCACTGGCCAGTATGCAAATGTGATGGCAGGAGCTGCAGCAGCCACCTTTAACCCAGAGACAGAGAGTGCCATATTGACAATGGCAGAGATACTCCACCAGCTCAGGACTGCCTATCTTTGGACTACTGTGTAAGAGTGAATCAAAATTCTATTTTAAGTCACTATATTTTGATGTCTTTTGACTACCTAGACTATAAGTAATTCATATAAGCCTCATGCCATTACCTTTACCCAGGAGCCTGAAGTTATTTGCACTTATTTGTGTTTTCTTATTTCAAATTGTATGTTCTGTGTCTTCCTTTTATAAAAAATTAAACTGTTAGCTAGTAGTCTAATTTTTTTCCCAAGAACCAGCTTATGGATTTATTTATCCCAGTGTGCTTAGTATTTTAAGATTATTTTGGCTTCCTTTACACTTGAATGGATGTCATTCAATGTAAATCCCATTTGTGGAATTATTGGGTCATATCCTTTCTCCTCAACATTCTTTCACATCGTTCCATTGTCTCATGCCATCTAAAGTTGCTGAAGTCTGAAAAAAAGTCTCATTTTATTCCTTTGGTAGATTGTCTGCTTCTTCTATCTGGATATTTGTAGTAGGATGCTTTTGTTGTGCCTAAGATTTAGGAACTTCACAAAAGCTATATTGGTCTCAGTGGTTTCTTTACTCAGTTTACCTGGAATAGAGTAAATCTGTTTGTGTGCCAGATTGGGTCTTTTGTTTCAGAAATGGCTTTTTCTTTTATGTGTTTGACTACTTTTTCAATTCCATTTTTTCCCTCTTCATCAGGGACTCTAGCTGTATGTTGGGTCAACATAAATGTCTCCCATAGCTATCATTTTCTTTCCATTCTCTTTGTCTCTTGCCCTTCTTTATTGTACTTTGTGTGATAGTCTCTGACCTGCTAACCATGTCACTGACTCGGCTTGCTGTCATGTCACCTTGTGGCTTCTAATGTGACTGTCAGATACTGAGTGGGTTTTTCTTCTTTTTTTTCCCCTTACCTCATCAGGTCCCCTTTTCATCTTATTTTGGTATCTCTGATTTTGTTTGTTTGCTTGCTTGTTTCATGAGAACTATAAGGTCCCCTGAGAGTACAGAGAGGATTCTTGTCAAGGACTTTATTCTATTTCCTGGGATCATTTTTCTTCAGATATATATTCTTTCCATGTATTTTCCTATGGACATGCTTTGAGAGAGAAGGGTAATATCTTACATAGATCCCATGGTAGCTCTTTACTAAGAAATAGTGACTATTTTAATTTAAAAAAATACCTGAATCCATCAGCCCTTTATTTATTTATTTTTTAAAGATTTTATTTGTCAGAGAGAGTGAGAGAGAGAGAGCACAAGCAAAGGGAGTGGCAAGCAGAGGGAGAAGTAGGCTCCCCACCAAGCAAGGAGCCTGATGTGGGTGGGACTTGATCCCAGGACCCTGGGATCATGACCTGAGTCGAAGGCAGATGCTTAACCAACTGATCCACCCAGGTGTCCCTCCATCAGCTCTTTAGATATAAATTCTATTTCACAGGAAAAATAGTAGCTAGACAAGCAAACTAAACACCACAAGGAAGTAACCAGACAGATCCGGAAGGTGAGATATTCTGTAGGACAACTACCTCAATTGCTTCCACTAGTAAGTGTCCTAAAAAAGGACTGTACTAGATTAAAATAAACTTAAGGGGAATGTGTGGTCCTGGATTGAATACTGATTTGGATAAATCAGTTGTAAGAATAATTGGAGTTAATTGGAGAAATTTTAATATGGCCTAGAAAGTAGGTAAGATGAGACAAGAGAAAAGTATACCAAAATACAAAGTAGAAAGTGTTGGCTAAATAATACAGGTTATAAAAAAGTTATAAACAATTTTTAGAGCATAATCTCTCTCTCTCTCTCTCTCACACACATACACACACACACACGGTTGTTGCAGTGATGTTCTCTGGGAGGTAAGAATATGCTGTTTGTTTTTTAAACTTGTCTCTATTTTCTGATGTTCTACAAGCACATGTCCTGCTTATGTAATAGTTTTTTGTTTTTTTTTTAAATAGTGACACAGATTTAAATGGGACAGATTTGCCATGAAGATAATAAAGCTTATGCTTTAGGGCCCTTTGTTCACATGGAAACTTCCAAGGCCCTAGGAGGGCTTCTGGCAATTTTGTATCACATTTTTGTGGGGATTTTTTATTTGTTATGTTTTAGAAATGTTTTACTGTAGTAAAACAGACATAAAATATACCATTTCAAGCAGACAATTCAGTGGAATGACGTACATTCACACTGTTGTGCACCCATCACCACGCCCCACCTCCAGAACTTTGTCATCTTGCTGAACTAAAACTCCCTATTGCCCCATCCATCCAGTATTTTTATTTTAAGTGTCTCCAAAATTGTGTAAGCTTTAAGCGCCAAAGCACCCTGGTCCAGCCCCAACTGACACTCAGAAATCCTGGTCACTCCTGAGCAAGCTTTGAAATGATATTTTACACTAGTAAGTGATTTTAGCCTCAAACCAAAGTGCTACCAACATTGCCAAGGAGACAAGATCACTGTGGTGGGGAGACAGATGGGGGCAGAGGAGCAAGAGAAGCAGACTCCCCACTGGGCAGGGAGCCCCATGTTGGGCTCCAACCCAGGACCCTGGGATCATGACCTGAGCCGAAGGCAGACACTTAACTTACTGAGCCACCCAGGAGCCTTGTATCAGCAAGTTTTAAGCCTGACTCAGTATGACAGAAAACCCGAATTTATTTCTCTGATACATAAAAGAAGTCTGGAGGTACACAGTCCAGGCAGGACTAGTATGGCAGTTTTATGATCATCAAGGAACTGCAGCCCTTTTATCTTGCCATGCTACTGTCAGTAGAATGCCACTTCATGGCCCAAAGGGGCTGCTCAAGCTCCCACTGTCAAGTCTCTATTCCAGCCAGAAGGAAAAAAATAAGGAGTGAAAAAAGTATGCCCCTTCCTACAATGTTTCCTCACCACAGATGCACGGTGGGCTTACATCTCTGTGGCCACAACATAGTCACATGGCCTTACCTAGCTGTAAGGGAGGCCAGGAAATGTAATTTTTATTCCAGAAAGTTGTGCCCAACTAAAGATCAGACATTCCATCATTAATAAAGAAATGGAGAGCATGGATATTGAGAAAGGCAGCTAAGCATCTGTCAAATAGTTTTTAAAAAGATTCAGTGTGCTAGTTTTTGAGGTTTGATGGGGGCAAGTAGGAAAAGACATTTGACTATTGCTTAGGATTTTGTTTAGAGCCGAAAGCTCATTTCCTCACAATTAACTTTCTAGACGGGGAGCTAAAGCCTCTTTCAATCCCACAGAAGTAGGCTAAACAGGCTTGCACAGAAAACAGGAAACATCATCTTCCCCACCGAAGGGGACTTTTGGATGTCTCAATGGCCAAATACATCCAAACCACATAGCTAGACCAATGAGCTTGACTGTGGTGGGTAAGCTTTAACTTAAACCAGCGTGTTAGCTGCCATCACGTTTGGACTGTGTGTTGCTTCCAGAGAAATGGTAACCTCAGGACGGGGTCTCTTGACCCCCTCCTTAGAGACTATTCCATGGAGGGCATTTGTCCCACGTGATAAACAAAGGAAAACGAGGAACAGGAATGCCACAGTTGCTTTACCAACCACGGAGTGGTTTCCAGTGCTTGAACCGGGCAAACTAGAAGCGGCCAGGTGAGGGGCAGATGGAATCAGATCAGCAGGGCCTTATGACCTTTCAGCTGCCTCTCTGACTTGCTAATGAAATAGAAAAATAAATCTTCATGCTTGTACATCGCATACACTGGTTGTCCAATTGCTTTTCTGAACTGATCACCTTTGATTTTGATAGATAATACATCGTTCAGCAAATTCCGGGATTTTGTCCAAATTAGAATATAATTTCTCCCCGAAGTGGCCTTGAACAGCGGTCAGCCTGCTTCCTTCTTTGTCCTTGACCTAGCCACTGCAGGACTTGGGCTCTTGCTTCTTCTGACTCCAGGATGAGCATGCTGTCACTCTCTGAGAGGGGGAACATTTTGTTGATCTAGCAGAACTGCCCTGTCGCAGCTCTAGTCTTCTCAGCTGGGCACCCTCACAGAGCCAGCCTCTGGGTAAGAAACTAATTACTTGGACTCCTCCTTCAGTTTGACCTCCTAAGGGAAATAGGCCTGCAGAAGTAACCACCCAGGCGTAGCAGAGCATGGAGCAGGGCCCAGCAATTCCTTCCAAAACGGAAAAGGCTCCTGCGGATAAACCGGTGTGTTTTGTGTTCCCGCCTCATACACAGCTCGGAAAGGCTGGGTTTTAAATAGACAACAGCACATACCCCTGCTTGGGGTAGGTTGCATTAAGAGTAAGGGAGGGTTGAAAGGCAGGGAAGAAAATAGCCTCCCAGCAGCCTTCCTTCCTTGCTTCCTGCCTGGCTCACCCCTTTCCCAGCAAGCTCTGGGGGCCCTATGTCCCCAGACAGGGGCTGGGGAATATCAGGGCAGAAACAAGCCCTCTGGAGGCAAAGGGAGGCTCCTCTGCATTTCCCTTTCCTGCAGGCCTGCCCTGGTTTTTTCATGATGTCATCCATTCATCATTGTGAGCTGATTGGCGGTCCCAGGCCTTGGCTAGCTGCCCAGGGCCAGGAGGGAAGAGAGAGATACCAGGGCAAACTTGCAGCAGGCCCCTGAGCATGTGCGGAAATGTTGTCATCAGTTCCACAGAGAAAGACTCGGTGGAAATCAAAGAAGACAGTAAAAGTCACAAGATCTTTTCCAACCTTCCCTTCCCTGAATGCCTGGGAAGAAGTCAGGGGCCTCTTGCCTGTGGATGGGGAGCCAAACCCTGGAGTTGGCCTGGGTGTGGAGGAGGGACTGCTCTGCCAGATGCTTCATTCTCCAGAATTCAACCTATTTCCTGACTCAGTGGTGTTTGAAAGCAACTTTGTCCAGGTACTCGTGGGTCGCTCAGAATGGCACTCCTTGATTCTTCTCAACCTGTTCCCAAGATGTGACCAGGAGAGTCTGTCCCAGAGACTGGAATGGAGTGAGAACTGGGGCAAGGAGAAGTCAGTGGGCCTGGAATGCATCTGACCCTGACCTTGCAGAGCCCCAGACAGGGCTTCTTCTGCAGACACTTGTCATCGTGGGGACAGAGGTCAGGAGTTCTCTGCTCTGAGTAGAGGACTTGGTATCTGAATCCCTCCATGTGCTTCCTTCTCCAGGGTGTCAGCCCAAAGAGGTGAACAAAGAGGCAGTGAAATGGGCTGCCCTTGGAGGGTTTGTAACAGAAATGCTGATTGGTGAAAGAACAGGAGCCGGGCCCCCGAGAGGGACCAGGGCTCAGAGTCTCTGCTTTCATGAGGTGTCACTGTGCAAGTGACCTGCATGCCCTGAATCCCAGTTTCCTCTATTATAAAAGGGGTTGGACCAACCTGGTTGTTCTATGCAAACACAGGAAGCAAAGGCCCAAGTACAACGGGCACTCAGGGCATTTTTTTTTAAAAGACTTATTTATTTATTTGAGAGAGTGCATGTGAGTGCACTGCGCAGAGAGGGAGGGCGGAGGGAGAGGGAGAGAGCAAGAATCTCAAGCAGACTCCCTGCTGAGCACAGATCCCACGACTGGGGGGTTGGGGGCTCCATCCCAGGACCCCAAGATCGTGACCTCAGCCGAAATGAAGAGTCAGCCGCTTAACCGACTGCACCACCCTGGGGCCCCTCTGTGCATTTTTGTTTCCTTGCCTGCCCTTCCTTTCCTCAGGCCAGGTAGAACCCAGAATAAACAGACCTTGGGAGCTGCAAGGGACCTCACAGTTCAGGGAAAGTGCAGGAGATAATAGGGCCCCTCAAAGAATGGCCTAAGGACAAATTTTTCAAAGAAAACCCAGGAAACAGTGTGGGGAAGAGTCACAGAAACGTGACACAGGTCCAGGAACTCCTGGGCTATGGTTCTTGTGGGCGATTGTTGATAGGAGGTAGTGTAAATACTCTTACTGTTGTTCAACCAACATAGGTTTAAAGATTTTATTTATTTATGTATTTATTTGACAGAGAGAGACAGTGAGAGCAGGAACACAAGCAGGGGGAGTGGGAGAGGGAGAAGCAGGCTTCCTCCCGAGGAGGGAGCCCGATGCAGGGCTCGATGCAGGGCTCGATCCCAGGGCTCGATCCCAGGACTCGATCCCAGGACTTGATCCCAGGACTCGATCCCAGGACCCTGGGATCATGACCTGAGCCAAAGGCAGACACTTAACAACTGAGCCACCCAGGCGCCCCACCAACATAGGATTAAACAGTGGGTCTCAACAAGCATTGATTTCGCCTGCCACTGCCAGGGGGCATTTGGCAACCTCTGGAGATATTTTTGATGGTCCCAACTTGGGCGGGGGAAAGGGATTGCTATTGGCGTCTAGTGGGTAGAGACGGAGGCTGCTACTAACCATCCTGCAGACGCCCCCGCCCCCAAACAAAGAATTAGCCAGCCCCAAATGTGAATAGGGCTGAGGTTGAGAGACCCCTCAGCTAGAATACACTGCTGCTTCTGCCAAATGCTCAGGCTGTGCCCATGGGGCTGCTTTGCAGGTCAGAAAGGGCAGGAACTGGATAGACATCTACAAAGCCTCCAACACCATGGCCCTTGGGGTAACCTCCTCCGTGCCCTGCCTGCCCCTTCCCAATATCCTCCTCATGGCTAGTGTCAAATGGCACCAGGGACAGAGCCAGACATGGAACAGACCATCTATGGCCCCAAACATCAAGCTGAAGAGGTAAGCAATACAGATGGGAACAGAGGACGAGTAGGGTGAGGGGTGGACCCAAAGTAGAGGCTGCTTTGTGACTCAACTCAAAGTAGGGAGAAACAGAGAAGTCGCTGGCAGTGACATTATTATTGTAGACAACAGTAGCCCGAGACAGAGGGTGCACTGGAAGCATTAGGCCAAGCTTGGGGGAGGGGGGCAAAGGGAAGTGTTATGCGGTCAGCAATGAGAAGCCAGTCAACATGACTTCTTTCCTTCCTGTTGCTCTCACCCCACTGAATCCATAGCAAATCTCCCTGCCTCGGGCTGAGGGGCAAGGAAGCAGTGAGGTCCAGCCAATGGAGCACTGATTGGGAGACACAGACTCTAGTCTTTGGTATCCAAATGACTCAAATAAGTTTTGAGTCTCAAGCTATTTGCCTCATCTCAGTTTTCCTGGGGTAAAATGAGCGGAACTAAGTCTCACTTAGAACTGTAACATACAGGAAACTCAGACTCCTCTGGGATGAAACAGCCCTTTCTGATGTTTGAATCTCTTCAAGTAATCTGTAGGATATCTCAAGAATCTCTAGAGATTCCCAGAAGTCCAGGTAAACCCTTCATTTCTCCATGTCAGCTTGGTGATAAACCTCACCTTTATGTTCTGGGTGTACCTATAGAAAGTACAGCCCAGTTCCTTGAACTCTAGCCCCCTTGGGAAGAGTAGTGAAAGCACTGGGGTCAATGAACAGACAAGCTGGAAGTTCCCTTTATACTATCAAGAAGGAAACTAAAAACCCCTATGACCCCAGCCTCCTTATTCCAGGGCTATCTCTCTCAAGCAGGATCCCAGGGAACACCAGCATGAGAATCATGGCAGATTTCAGGGCCACACCCCAGACCTACTGAATCTGAGTTGTAGGGGATATCTTGAGGTGTCTGCATTTTAAACAAGCGCCCCAGGTAAATCTGGTCTCCCCAAAGTTTGAGCACCATGGTGCTAAACATTCTCTCTCCTACCCCCAAAAACCTCAGTCCTGTAGGAGACACTCCTCATTTTAACGAAGTCAGGGTTGGATCAGAAGCCATAGGGTTGCCATGGTGTGTCTTCCCTTGTGGCTTTAGGATCCTCCCATTGAAGTTTGTGGAGTTCCAGGTCTGTGACCGGCTTCAGCGCATCCTGCGTTTGAGGACAGTCACCGAGAAGATCTACTACCTAAGGCTCCACCCTGACCATCCTGAGACTGTCTTCCACTTCTGGATCCGACTGGTTCAAATTCTGCATAAGGGCCTGTCCATCACCACCAAGGACCCTAGGATTCTTGTCACTCACTGTCTGGTACCCAAGAACAGCTGCAGCCCCTCGGGAGACTCTAACGTAAGTGGGCACCATTGCCACCTCCAGCAAAGGCCAGAGCTGAACTGTGGAGTTTAGGTGAGCTGGTATGTGAGCACCCTGTGAAGGTGATCCCTGCCTTAGGCCTTTGCTAATCAGCTTTATTGAGGTATAATTTACAACCATAAAACCCAGCCTTTTCAAGTATACAGCTCAACATTCTCAGTAACTGTATAGAGTTGGGCAACCATTACTACCATCCAGTTTTAGAAAACTTCCATCACCCTAAAGATTCCCTTCTGCCCAGTTGCAGTCATTCAAATGTCCCTATTTCCTGCCCTAGGCAGCCTGTGATCTGTGTTCAGTCTCTATAAATTCATATTTCTTAGACATTTCATATAAATGAAATCCTACAATATATAGTCTTTTATGCTTGGCTTCTTTCCCTTAGCATGATGTTTTTCAGGCTCATTTATATTGTAGCATGAGGCCAACTCTGTGGCAGAGTCACAGACTATCCGTATTCCTTTTCATTGCTGAATAGCATTCCATCATATAGATAGACCACATTTTGTTTGTCCATTCACCAGTTGGACATTTGCATTGTTTCCAGTTTTTGACTATCATGAATAATGCTGTTATGAACATTTGTGTACAAGTTTTTGCATAGATGTATGTTTCATTTGTCTTGGGTAGATTCCAAGGAATGTAATGGCTGGGTCATGGAATAAGTTTCGATTTAACTTTCATTTAAAAAAAATTTTTTTAAGGTTTTATTTATGTATTTGACAGAGAGAGAGCACACAAGCAGGGAGAGCAGCAGGCAGAGGGAGAGGGAGAAGCAGGCTTCCCGCCGAGCAGGGAACCTGATGCAGGGCTCGATCCCAGGACCCCGGGATCATGACTTGAGCCGAAGGCAGATGCTTAACCGACTGAACCACCCAGGCGCCCCTAGATTTAACTTTTAAAGAAACTGACAAACTATTTTTCAAAGTGGCTTACCATTTTACCTTCCCATCAGCAATGCATGAGGGTTTCAGTTTCTCTATATCCTCACCAACCTTGTGTTTCTGCAATAAAAATTCCACCTGGTCATGGTATATATAATCCTTTCTATATGTTCCTGGATTCAGTTTGCTAGCATTTTGTTAAAGATTTTTGCATCTATGTTCATTAGTGATATTGGTCTGTAGTTTTCTTCAGAAATCTTTGTGATACCCTGACTTTGGTCTTGGAGTAGTACTAGCCTCATTGACTGATTTAGGAAGTGTTCTTTCCTCCTCTGTTTTCTGAGTTTTTGAAGAATTGGTATTATCATTAAGTATTTGATAGAATTCACCTGGGCATTTTTGCCCCAGGCCTTAAGATGTGACATCAGATCAATTTGAGCTGCAACATAAACTCCATGAAGGCAAAGGGTTTTTCCCCATCTTCTTAGCTGTTATATCCCTAGTGCCTGGTACAATGCTGACATTCAATAAATAATGAATGAATGCATGAATGACTATGAGCAGCATGCACGGCTAGAGTACCTATGGGGGTATCACAGGCAACAGGAAAGAAAGCAATTTTACCCAAGTGTGAAAAGCAGCTCAACATAGGATTTTTCTTAGAGAGATTAATTTTTTAAAAGATATTATTTACTTATTTGAGAGAGAGAGAGAGCTCCAGCATAAGGGGCAGAGGGAGAGGGAGCCGACTCCCCACCGAGCAGGGAACCCAAGGCGGGGCTTGATCCCAGGACCCTGAGATCATAACCTGAGCTGAAGGTAGACGCTTAACACTGAGCCACCCAGGCGCCCAGATAAATTATTTTTTTAAGTATCTATTAAATTCCTACAACAGATATTTGATCCCCCTACCCTGAAATATAAAACCAAGTAGCAGAAGCTTTATTAAAGTTTATAGGAATAGGCTATTCAGGAACGTGTGAAGGTACGTTAATAAGAATAGATTATCTACTAAATTATGTCTAAAGTTTTCAATGACAGTATTATCTTTAAGGCACTAAAGGATATTTATAACAATACAGGCGGTATGATCAGAGATGGCCTCAGAATGGCCTCTCCGAGCAGCTGACCCATCAGCCCAGAGGAACAGCTCGAGTTTCAACACTTTCAGGTCTGGACCGTGATTAGGAAAATGCAGAGACCCTAAGGCCTTAACCACCTGGCTTTGCTTTTTCCCTCCATCTAGTCAGTAGAGAAGAAACCCCAAGCCTCCCAGCCCAGCGAGAGCCTCATGCAGCTGATGGCCAAGGGGGAGAGTGAGGCGCTCTCTCAGATTTTTGCCGACCTGCGCCAGCACAATGAGTTCAGGTACATGCCTTAAATCAGGCCAGCCTGACATCCCTGCTGCAGCCCAGATGGCCTGGGCTGTAAGATCTAGAAACCAAGTCACTTGGAAAAGGAGCAGAAGGAGGAGCATGAAATACTTGCTACCACTCAGGATCCAGGTTTTATCCTCGACTCAGAGTAACCTTTCACCAGTTCTCTTTGCCTTAGTCTCCTCCACAAAGCAAGCATGGTAGGCTCGACTCCAGAGGAATGTTGTACAAAATAAGAAGTAACTCGTCAATAATAAGAATAAGATAATAGCACAGGTGGGAAAGGAAAACCCAATTTCTAATCCTGTTCCTAGTTCTTACGGAGAAATAACTAAAACATTGTCTACTCATTGAGTTCATTTACCCATTCACCTGGCCTCTGCTTGGACTTCAGGGAGCTTCTGTGGTTGCTTTCTAAATGTATAATCCATTCTGGAAAGCTCCATTGTACAGGCTCATCTTCTCCATGCCTGAGGAAATGTCCTTGTATGTGCAGCTGCCTTAGGGTTGACAGGCATTGAGAGCAGTTAGACCACAGGGCACCACGACCAGAGCGCAAAGGTAATGTGGGAATCGGGGTCTGGCAATCTTGATCTGTGGTTTAAAAGGAAAGGGAGGACAGAAGTAAGTTAGTAAATGTCACCAGAAGAGAAAAACTAGGTGTTAGAAAGAAGAAGGTTTTTGTCACAATAGGGACCAGCAACGCAGAGACAGAACCAAAAAAAAAAAAAAAAAAAGAAAAAGAAAGAAAGGCTTTCCCCCAGTGTTGGTAGTAAGCCAGCAGAGTTGGAGGGGGCAAGCTCACACAGTCCTGGGCCCAAGTCACTGCTCTGACTGTGAGCCTTCAGGCACATTGCTTTACTTTTCTGGCCCTAAGTGTTCAGATCTGCAAAATGGAAATTATGGTAGTGCTGACCTCATCCAGATCTTGTAAGATTAAATGAGCTCATACACAGCAGTACTTGGCATGCTCCTCAGCAGATTTAGGAAGGCAGACGTAAGGAAATCCTCAATAAATATTAACTCGTATTATTAACTCAAGCGTGGGCTGGAAATAGAAAAGTAGTCACACAAGAAAAAGACTTGTTAGTTGCCCATGGCCTAAGAATTTACACGGGAGGTTGTCACTCTGTATACATATCAGAGACTTAACTACAGAGTATAGTTAAGTAATTTCTGGGTAAGATGTCAATATTACTGAGCTGGAGACCCCTGGACTCTAATAGAGCAAGATATATTGAAGCAACTTATTGACCGTCTCAAAATCTGAAATCACGGATTTTTCTTTTTTTATTACTGTTTGAAGGATAGCTTCTGTTTATATTCATGGCCACCATTCAGTCACCTGGCCACCCCCAGCTACAAGGGAGCTGGGAAATGCATTCATCATTGTTCATAGCCATGTGCCTCACACAAAATTAGATGTTCTGCCCCTGAGGAAGGAGAGAAGGAGACTGGGGGCCTGTGGCAATCTCTGGCACAGGCAGCTTTTAATATTTCTGGAAGGTCAGAGGAGACTAAGACCAGAAGAGAATAGGCTCTAACCAGATGAAGGGTGAAGAAAGCTGTAGAGGTTGAGGGATCAAAGGAGGCTTCATCCTGAGGAAGAGACTTGGTGAGTTTAGAAAAAGGGAGGAAAGACCAGTGGGGAAATGGTGGTGGTGGGAGGATGGAAGTAGAAGTGGGCAGGGCCGAGCCAGGGCCTGGGAAGCGTGGGCATGAATTAAGACCTTAGTGGAGTGGGAGCCTTAGTTGATTTGAAGGGAGGGAGCCTAGGTGTGAAGAGGCCAGCCGGTAAGCTGGGGCAACCTAATTGGGGCTGTCGTGTCCCAGATGGATCGGAGGGCTGTGAGAAATAGGGGATAATGAATTTTTGCTTCACTGTTCTCTCAGTAATTGCTTTGGACAGACATTGGGTTTCTTCTCTTTAATTTCCTAGAACGAAGCCCTGAGTGATGGTTTCTCTCCTCATTCAGGCAGGTTCTAGTCTGTTTGCAATTATGTCAGTTTTTGCACATTGGCAACAACCAGCAACTTACAGCAAATACAATAAAAGGCTGAGACAAAGGACCAAACAGATGCAGTCGCACCCACTCTTCCTCAGCAAAAGCGGCAGCATGGGCTCAGCTCCCCACCCCGCCCCCCTCCCCACTTCCCCTTCCTGAGTTTTTTTCTGGTACTTTATTATGCAGCACACCCACCCGGTGTCGCCACGGTGGCCTTTTTCATATTTATATCTGCCTCTAAAGCTTTTGCATGAAGAAAAATATAACTGGAAAGAAGATTTGAAATGAGAATTTCATGCTCTGTTCTTTTCCTTTTGACCTTCATTTCCTTGATCCTGAAATGGCTGGAGTTCCAGGAGCAACAAAAAGACACAGACCAAAAGGGACAGCTCAGGTAATGGAGGGCACAGGGCACCCATGTCTCGGAGAACTTTCTGCTCCACACATGTAGGAATAAGTCCCCCCACCAGCTCCCCATCCCAGCTTTCCCGGATCTCTGTTGTCTTTCCTTATCTTAGTTTGAGTTCCTCTAGGCTCTTTGGCCACCATACTCAATCTGGCAGCAAGTCTTACCAATTTCTTTCTTTGAAATGTTTCTTGTATTCTTTCCTTCAGTTCTACTCCTGCAGATTCTACACTAACCACCTTATCACTGCATGCCTGGCCTGTACAGTAATCTTCTCTAGTTTATTCATTCATTTACTCATTCCAAAACATGCGGTGAGCACTTGGTAAGTGCCCAACACTGTTGAAGGCTTTGGAGTCACAATGAAGAAGGACACAGTACCCCTGTGAAAGGGTTTATAATTTGATGGAGTCAGATGGGTAGATTCTGAAATCTCAAAACCTCTCTTTCTAGGCAACATTCAGAACTCATGCCTGGGGTCCCTCAGGAGCATAGAGACAGGGGTCCCTCACTCCCCCCAGGAGGCTGTTTGGGAAGGCCCGGGGTCTGAGCTGAGGCATAGAGGATGAGTGCAGGCGGGGCTGACTGAAGCAGAGAAGGCAAGGCATTCTTTTTTTTTTTTTTTTTAAAGATTTTATTTATTTATTTGAGACAGAGAGAATGAGAGAGAGCACATGAGAGGGGGGAGGGTCAGAGGCAGAAGCAGGCTCCCTGCCGAGCAGGGAGCCTGATGCGGAACTCGATCCAGGGACTCCAGGATCATGACCTGAGCCGAAGGCAGTCGCTTAACCAACTGAGCCACCCAGGCGCCCCAAGGCAAGGCATTCTAAAAAGAGGCAGAGTCTGGGTGAAAGAGCATGACACATTCTGGAAAGAGCAGCCGGTTCCCTACTTATTGCCAGGTTCTAGTTTACCCCAAATCCACTCATTTTGGCATGCAGGACCCGAACAGTTTCTCCCCCTCAAATAGACGCCCCTTGCCTCATCTTCTTCTCCAACCCAAATCTGCTCTAGTCAAGTATTCGCTATCCTTCCCTGTGCCTTATTCATTCCCTCTGTTCCCTTCCCCCTGATGCCCCACCCTCAATCCTACCCATCCTTGATCATAACCTCTATGACATTATTCCCTACTTGTTTCATAGGCTTAAGTCTTATTTCTTCTGCCAATACTCATTCTTTTCATGCCTCTGAATTATCTGCAGTGGCTAGCACAGGGCTAGGAACCCAATGGGAGTTCAGTAAATATCCGTGTGCCACACCACTAATAAATTATTCCTCCAAATTGGTTCAGGAGGCAACCAGAATATCGTGTTATATTTAGGAATTTAGAGGAATGTGTAGATCGCAGAGAAGCTCTCGACTTTCATCCAAACCAGGGATTCCAACCCAAACGTCTGCAGGTGGTATGAATGGGTAGAGAGTCTAGGTGTCATGTAAGAAATGGTTGACTTTTCTCTCAACTCCATTGTAAGTTAAACACCAGCTAGGCTGACACTTGGTTTCAGCACTGAGGAGGCAGTAGGAGGTGGTAGGGACGGTGGCGATGAGAAAGTGAAGGTTTCCATGAAGCCTTCAATTGTCACCATGCTGGAACACAGGCCTGGTGTTGCCAGATACTCTGATTTCTCAACAAAAGCCACAAATCTAGATTTTTATGTGACCTATCCCCTGCCCCATAAACACTAACACACAGTCTAGGCTGACACTTAGTGGGCAAACAAAACATATCTGCAGGCCAAATTCAGGCTGGAGGCTGCCAGGTCATTCAGCCCCTGTTCTAAATGGTGAGTAGAGCTGATGCTGGCCCACGTTTTCCCAAGCCTGAGAATGTGTTCTCATGTCATGTGACTGATAATACAATGATGATGCATTGTTTTCACACATACATTCAATCACATACACACTCAAAACACCCCATGAGATTATGGTTGAAGAAGACAGAGAATAAGTCACATTTACTTCTAGGACTTGAGAGAACAGTTGGAATTTCAGAGTCACAAGGTATGTGGTGTTCTGACAACTACCACGCCCAAGCTGTCTTGAGGCTGATTTCAGTGAATTGTCCTAGAATGTTCTCAGGACCCTTCACTCTCCTTGTACCTGAAGGAACCTCTTTTTCCTCTTTGGTCCAGATAGTGTACCCTTTGAGTTTGGGAGGACAGTTATACCCCAGCCTCTGGGAACTTCTGGATGAAAAGAAAGAGAGAGCTACATTGGGAAAAACCAGGGTCCCAAGGCTTACCTGTGTGGCTGAACTTTTCAACTCCCCCATCAGTGGGTAGTGTGGCCCTACTTCAGTGCTTCCCAAACTATAATGTGCAAGCAGTCCCCTGGGGATCTTGTTAAAATGCAGATTTTGACTCAGTAGGTCTGGATGGACCCAAGACTGTGCATTTCTAACATGCTCCCAGGTGATGCCAAAGCTGTTGGGCTGCAAGCCACCCTTTGAGTAGCTGAAGCCAAGTGGACTAAGAACAGGCTCTGGCTTAAGGCCATCTGGGTTCACGGCCATTGCCAGTTCAGCTAGCTGAATCTCTTCGGGAAATTCACTCAGTGATCCTCTCCAAGCATGTTAGTTCCCTCCTTTTACTGGCACTGCCTTGTTCAAAGGATATAATAGTTAAAACATGGGCTCTATTGCCTAACTGCCTGGCTTTGAATTCTGGCTCTGACTCCTCATTATGTGACCACAGGTAAGTGACTTAACCTCGCTGGGCCTCAGAATCCTAGTAAAATGGGAACTACAGCAGCACTGACCTCTCGGGCTCCTTGTGAGAATTAAAAGAGCATTAAGGTGTGTGGTTGTTTGGAACCGTGCCTGGCTCATAGAAAGCACCCCACAAGTGTTGGCCATAACCTGTGAGACTGCTCTGTGAATTAAAGTTACAAACGAATGCATTCCCTTTATGACCTAGAGAAAGATACTCACAGTGAAGACGGCATCCCTTGCACCCGCGACCTCAGTTGGAGAGATTCGCTCACTTATGGAGAGTGGGAAAGAGAGAACCCCTCTGGGCCACAGCCCCTTTCACTCCTCAGCACCCTGGCAGCCTCCACGGGACCACAGCTGGCCCCACTCATATAGGTACTGTGATGGGAATAATCTGATCGCCTTCATGGGACAGCCCTGGAGTTCCATCTCAGGCTTGGGTTCAGGTCCTAGGGGCCTGGGGGTGATTCCAGGAGGCTGTGAGTGGGAGTGGGGGGTGCCAGCCAAAGCCACCTCAATTCTCTTTGTTCCTGCTCTGTTCTTCTCTACCTCCAACTGGGTTGAGTGACACCCTAAATGTGGCAGCTCCAGAGCCCCTAGAGGCTCCTAGGACCTCTTGCCAGGGGCCCTGACAGGACAGAGACCCGGACAACACTGTTGTGGCTAGACCTGCTTCCTCCCTGCTGTGTGGGCGGGGCTGCCTCCTCAGCCGAGTGCCTCTGGACTCTTCCTTTGAGGGAGTGGGAAGCTGGCTTTCCCTTTTCCTTTCCAGAGCTCTTGGGGAGCCCCAATCTTCTGTTGCAGAGAGTGAGAAGGAACTAGGCCAGAAAGGGTCGGGTGGGGATGATCCTTCTCTGGAGCCCAGCCCTTATCTTTCCATGTGCCACAGGCTCATCCACCCATCCATATATTCATTTAGCAAATATGCATTGAGTACTTCCTATGTGCCTCTGCCTGACCAGAGAGAGATCCCTAAAGAAGGTAGGAGTGGTTTGTGTTTTCTCAAGTCAAATAATATTAATAAACCACTAACTCTGACAAGACACCTGTTATTAATAGTTGACAATTAAAAAATTACCTTAAGTACCTATGTGTCCACAGAAGAGCTTTTTAGGCAAGCTATGTCTTATTGGACATTCTTCTCTCCTACATTAACAGGAAATTCTATTTGAACCACCTTTTCGCACTGGGGAGAATCTATGCAGCCCTCGCCAACGCCACTCTGCAGCATTCAGCTTTCTGAGGGACTCTGTCTGGATGTAGGGGAGGAGAAAGCTACGACTAAGGAAAAACTAGACTCATCTCACGCTGATAGCATAGCCTTTCCCTGGAGAGCCACCTGGGAGCATGGCTCCGGGTAAGAGCATTATTCCAGCATCATTCCAGTACGTAACTCCGGGTCCGTGCCACTACCCATCACACCTTGCCTCTGTTACCACCACCAGGGCAGGCACAAGAAGATGTGCTCTCAGAAGGGCCACGGACAAGAGATGGAGAGAAGGAAGGAAAGGGAGGCAGGACCAGAGGAGAGGGGGACAAGAAACAAAATGGCGGTGAAGAGCAAGGGGAGGGAGAAAGAGAAGAAGGGAGATCTCACAGAGAGGTGGTAAGAAAACAGAAGGGACCTGAATGAGAAGCTGAAAAGGACAAGAGAAGACATACACCACTGAGAGATGCCTCACGAAGCTTCTATTTATCTAATTTAAAACTTGAAAGTAAGGCCATATACCCAAACAAATGTGTTTTCTTCTCTGTGCCAATTATTCTGGATAACTGTGAGGGGCTAAAAACTAATTCCAGCCAAGGGCCTCTTCTGAAGTTTCATTTTTCCCCCCAGTTTGTTGTTGTTGTTGTTTGTTCCTCTTTTGATTCAAGCTTTGTGCCTTCTTCCTTAGCACATTCCCTAACTTGGACTTGCTAGCCTGGCCCTGGTATTTCAAATGAAGGTTTGGGTTTGAGGCTGCAGAAAGGTTCCTGCAGGAGGCAGTGTTAGGACAAGGTGTGTGAAGGAGGGGGACTTTCTCTTTTGTGGTCCAACTTCTTCAGTTGGCTGTTGTCTCAGTCCTACGGACACTGGCTCAATTTCCTTTGCGTATGACACCCCCTTTTTTATTTTTTTTAATTTTATTATGTTATGTTAGTCACCATACAATACGTCATTGGTTTTTGATGTGGTGATCCACAATCCATTGTTTTCATATAACACCCAGTGCTCCATGCAGTACGTGCCCTCCTTAATACCCATCACCGGGGGCGCCTGGGTGGCTCAGTTGGTTAAGCAACTGCCTTCGGCTCAGGTCATGATCCCGGAGTCCTGGGATCGAGTCCTGCATCGGGCTCCCGGCTCGGCGGGGAGTCTGCTTCTCCCTCTGACCCTATCCCCTCTCATGTGTTCTCTCTCTCTCTCTCTCTCTCAAATAAATAAATAAATAAAATCTTAAAAAAAAAAAAATACCCATCACCGGGCTAACCAATCCCCCCTCCCCCCTCCCCTCTAAAACCCTGTTTGTTTCTCAGAGTCCATAGTCTCTCATGGTTCATCTCTCCCTCCAATTCCCCGCCCCCCCCATTTTTCCCTTCCTTCTCCTAATGTCCTCCATGCTATTCCTTTCACAAATAAGTGAAACCATATGATAATTGACTTTCTCTGCTTATTTCACTTAGCATAATCTCCTCCAGTCCCATCTATGTTGATGTAAAAGTTCGGTATTCATCCTTTCTGATGGCTGAGTAATATTCCATTGTATATATGGACCACGTCTTCTTTATCCCTCATCTGTTGAAGGGCATCTCGGCTCTTTCCACAGTTTGGCTATTGCGGACATTGCTGCTATGAACATTGGGGTGCATAGGGCCCTTCTTTTCACTACATCTGTGTCTTTGGGGTAAATACCCAGGAGTGCAATTGCTGGGTCATAGGGTAGCTCTATTTTTAAAATTTGAGGAACCTCCACACTGTTTTCCAAAGTGGCTGTACCAACTTGCATTCCCACCAACAGTGTAAGAGGGTTCCCCTTTCTCCACAACCTCTCCAATATTTGTTGTTTCTTTCCCTGTCCATTTTTTGCCATTCTAACTGGTGTAAGGTGGTATCTCAATGTGGTTTTGATTTGGATTTCCCTGATGGCTAATGATGAACATTTTTTCATGTGTCTGTTAGCCATTTGTACGTCTTCTTCAGAGAAGTGTCTTTTCGTATCTTCTGCCCACTTTTTGACTTGATTATTTGGTTTTTGGGTGTTGAGTTTGAGAAGTTCTTTATAGATCTTGGATACCAGCCCTTTATCTGTAGTGTCATTTGCAAATATCTTCTCCCATTCTGTGGGTTGCCTCTTTGTTTTGTTGACTGTTTCCTTTGCTGTGCAGAAGCTTTTTATCTTGATGAAGTCCCAAAAGTTCATTTTTGCTTTTGTTTCACTAGCTTTTGGAGATGTATCTTGAAAGAAGTTGCTGTGGGCGATGTCAAAGAGGTTACTGCTTATGTTCTCCTCTAGGATGGATTCCTGTCTCACATTGAGGTCTTTCATCCACTTTGAGTTTATCTTTGTGAATGGTGTTAGAGAATGGTCGAGTTTCATTCTTCTGCATGTGGCTGTCCAATTTTCCCAGCACCATTTATTGAAGAGACTGTCTTTTTTCCATTGCATGTTTTTTCCTGCTTTGACACCCCCTTTAAATGTTGCCATACCTTGTAAGTGCTTGTGAAACCAGCGATTCCACAGAAAGGAGGTATAGCCTCAAAACATAGGTAAGTCAGAGGTTCCAGGCTCAAAGTAAAAGTAAAATCAGAGGTTTGCAAGTTATAGATCAAAGGAGTCACCAAGGAATGAATGTCTGTTACCATGGCCAGTGGACTGGCCACTTTGTTTAAAATGCACAATATTTCACATTCAGTAAAAAATAGACTATGAGCATTTCAACCAACTTTCCAATTGGAAAGCTTTTTTAGAGGTCTTGCTCTAATTTAAGATATCCTATGAGGGTCTTTTCTTTCGCTGGGGTAATTGAAAAGGTTGGAGGGCTAAAAAGTAAGCTCCTGGATCACCATCACTCTTTCCAAGGATGAGTTTTGTTGGTGATTTCAATATCCACGTAGGTGACCCCTCCCATACGCGGGTCGCTGTTCCTTGAGCTGCTGCAGCCCAGTAATCCTGCCCACTACCCTCATCAGCCACTAACTCCTGCGATTTTATCCTAGAGTTTGTCGTTAATAACTGTAGCCCACCCCATTACTTCCACTCTCCATCTCTACCACCGCCTGTCTTTCCCTGAGTCCAGTAATCCTTCCACCCGCTAATCCCACAATCTATTGCTCCTTCTGGGTTTTCACTGTCCCTCACTCCCCTCACATCCTCATTTCCTTCCCCTCAGCCTAGATTCCATGATCAGTCATTACTATTACCATTCCCTTGCATGCACCCTCAACACTTTTGTGTCTCTTCCACTTGATTCTGTTTACTTGGCTAAGTCCAGTTGTCCACCAACTCCATGCCTGCATCATGCTGCTAAATTTGCCTGGAGAAAACCGTGTGATATACTAACCAGTGTTACCTCAAAGTCATAATCTCAAATCTCAGGAGGGTCCTCAGTGTTGCCTGGAGATCACACTATGCTTCCCTCATCTGTTCTCTCTGCTGAATGGCTACTTCACACCTTCTCTCCCCTCAAACCCCCAGTGCCTCCTGATGACCCAGCTTCCTTTTTCTCTGAGAACATCATAGCAATTGAAAGAGAACTCCAAGCTCTCTCCACCATGTCCACCACTTACCTGGAATTAGACCCATAGATCTAGTTTCTCTCCTTGTTACTATGGAAGAACTGTCTCAGTTCTAAGCAACGTCCAACTCTTCCCCTTTTGTACTAGATCCCATCCCATCTCCTCTACTCAAGGACATTGCTCTAGCAATTCTCCCTTTTTCCTACATCAATTTTATGCTCACTCCTAGATCCTCCCCATCAGCAACAAACTGATATTTCTCCTAAACATATTGTTATTTCTTCCACTTAAAAATAGAAGAAAATAAAACAAAACCTCCCTTGGCCCTGCTACCCCACTGCTCCAGTTTTCTCCACCCCTTTAAAGAAAACTCCTTGAAAGGGTTTCCAATTTCTTGCTTCCTATTCTCTCCTGAACCCCTCTGGTAGGTTTTGGCATCCACTACCTCACCAAACCTGATCCCCACATTGCTAAAGCCAATGGCTAATCAGTCCTCCTCTCTCTGTTACCAGCGTGGGACATAAGTAACTACTCCTTTCTCCTTGAAATGCTTTCTTCACTTGGCTTCTAGAACACTACGCTCTCTTGGCTTTCCTCATTCACTGACTTTTCTTCTCAGTTTCCTTTGCTGATTCATTCTCATCAATACCCTCTACCATCTCCAAATCAAAACTCATGGCTGCATATCACACATAAACCAATTATTCCCAAATTTATATCTCTAGTCCAGAACACTGTGAACTCCACAGACACCTATCCAACTGCCTACTGGACATTTCTATTTGAATATCTAATAGGCATCTCAACATGTCCAAAACTAACCTTTCAATATTATCCCTCAAGACTTGCCCCTCCCAAGGTCTTCTCTATCCTAGTCAATGGCAGCTCCATTTTTCTACTTTCTCAAAACTTTGAAGTCATCCTTGACTCCTCTCTTTCTCCCCACCCCATCGCCAACCCATCAGGAAATCCTTTTAAACTACTTTCAAAATATATGCAGGATCTGACACATCTCAACCCCCCTGGACCAAGCCATCCTCATCATTGTCATCACCTGGATTGTTGCAAAACCTCCTAAAGGGGTGGCTTTTTTCTAATCTCACCCTCTTCGGTCACATGTAACCCTTTAAAAATCTTAGATCATGTCACTTTTCCACTCAAAACCCTCCAATGTCTTCCCATCTGTATTAGTTCAGGTAATGCTAGCTCTGAAAGAGATAAATCCCAATATATCAGTGGCATAAAATAACCAGTAGAAATTCATTTCTCACTCAGAAAAAGTCCAAAAAAGGTGTTCCTGTTCAGTGAGAGTTTTTTTTAACAAGAACCTGGGCTCCTTCCATCTCGTGATATGCCATCTGCACTACATGGCTTCTAGGGTTGCCAGAGAAAGAGAGAGAGCTTGGAGAATGGCCCATGGCAGGTTGGTAAGGCAAGTACTGGAAGCGGTAGACATCATTTCTGCTCCTTTTCCTTTGGCCAGAGCTCAGTTACCCGTCCACACTGTAGTCTAGCTGTGTCCATAAAGGGAAGAGGAAACAGTCTGGTAAATAGCCAGTCTCTTCCATGCCTTCTCAGGCATAATAAAAGGGAAAGTCCTTACAATAGCGTAAAGGCCCTACATGGTGTCCCTCTGCTCCTCGCCCACCTCTCTGCTCCCTCCTCTCCGACCTCATTTTCTCTACTCTCCTCAATTACCACAGCCTAGCCACACTGGTTCCCTGCTGCTTCTCAAACACTCCAAGCATGCTTCAGGTCAGGGCCTGCCTTCTTGCTGTTCCCTTTTCCTGGAATGTTCTTCACCACCTTCAGATGTTCACTTACATGTTCATCCTCTTTATGAGCCTTCCCTGGCCACTCTTTCTAAGATTGCAACACCACTTTGGATAGTCCCAGCACTCTGTTCTCTCCTTCTCTGCCTTATTCTATTCCTTGGTACCTATCATTACCTCCCATTCTCTATGTTTTGCTTTTTTATCTGGATTATTGGCTTCATACCAGAATATAAGCACCATGAGAGTTTGGTCCATTTTGTTTATTGCTGTATCCCCAGTGCCTAGAATGGCATCTGGCACATGGGAAGCAATATGTTTATTTGTGGAGTAAGTGTTCAGCAGCACCAGATGGGCAGAGTAGGGAATGCTTGAAGAACATCAGCCTTCAGAGGTTGACATCATACTTGCCATAAACAGTACTTCAGTACTTCTCTGAGAGACAGAATCGAGGACTCATGGGCTTTTAGGGGCAGCTAAGGTGACATTTCTTATGTGAGTCACCCTTCAAGTCCTCTTCCTCCTCCACCTCCTTTCTAACTCAGGGCTCCCTTGAGGCTTAATGTGCTTTTCTCTCCTCAGCTCATTTGTTCTCATGGCTCCCTCAGCTGCCTCCTGGCCAATGATCCTTCTAAGTATCTCCTCCAGCCTATTGATTCTTTTTATTTTTATTTGTTTAAAGACTTATTTATTTGAAAGAGAGAGAAAACGGGGCGCCTGGGTGGCTCAGTTGGTTAAGCGACTGCCTTCAGCTCAGGTCATGATCCTGGAGTCCCGGGATCGAGTCCCGCATCGGGCTCCCTGCTCGGCAGGGAGTCTGCTTCTCCCTCTGACCCTCCCCCCTCTCATGTGCTCTCTCTCATTCTCTCTGTCTCAAATAAATAAATAAAATCTTAAAAAAAAAAGAGAGAGAGAGAGAAAGAACGTACGAGCGTTCTTTGGAGTGGCAGAGGGAGAGGGAGAAGTAGACTCCCCGCTGAGCAAGAAGCCCCACGCTGGGCTTGATCCCAGGACCCTGAGATCATCACCTGAGCCGAAGGCAGACACTTAACCAACTGAGCCACCCAGGCACCTCTATTGACTCTTCTTAGATATTCTGCCGTCATCTTAGACTTTCCATGTCTTGAACTCATTTCCCTTTTCTTACACCCATTTAGTTCATTCTCCCAGTTTATTATGATTAAAATTTTAAATTTTTGACTGCTCCTTTATTTCTTTCATCTAAGCAGTCACTGAGTCGAGGACTTGTTATTTCCACTTTAAAAATTTCTCTTGTATATGAGAGGTTTTTTTTCCCCCAAGGCCAAGCCCTATCCACAGGGAATCTCAGGGTTGGAGGGCCCCATCTCTGGCAGAGTCCCACTACCTTATCCAGCTTCCTCTAGGACACTTTCGAGATGGGTGGCTCTCCCGCTGGACTGCAGTTCCTTGAGGGCAGGGACCTGTCCTATTCATTGTGGGTTTACCAGCACCTGGCACAGTGCTTGACTTCAAGGAGGCATTTCTCCTGATGCAGCCTATTCTATAGTTAATCCCTATTAGGAGATGTTCCTCCTAGAAAGAACCACTTTCCACTTTCAATCTCATTCTACCTCCCACATAGGCACAAGTTTAGAAACCTTCAGAAGACCCACAATTCCCACTGCCTTCAGCTCAGGCTCCTCAGATTAAGACTTTGTATTACTTAGAGAAACTTATACATGTGCTTTCTCTTCATGCCCCCCCCCCTTTTACCTCCCTCATCCCCTGCCTGACCTAAGAATTTATCTCCCCCCTCTGTCCCCCACTTGCTCTTGTTTCTGTTACTGCTGTTGCTGAATAGTTGCATTCAGGAATTCCTTAGTCCAGTTTGAGTTGCACCTTCTTAGGAGGAAGACCTCTCTGGTTAGCACCAAGGGTCACTGTCATTCCTAAAGCATTCGTTGTCAATCTTTCACCTTGTCAATTAAAAGCACGTTAACTTGCTTTGTATTTAAAGCTTTCATCAGTATACTGCCTGTTTCAATTCGATGTTAAAGTATGAGGCTTTATGTGCTAAGAACATAGTAGGTTTATGTTCCATTGGTGTTCTAACATGGTAGTCCTCATTCAATGTTTGCTTGAATTTCATGACATGAAATTGAATGAGTAAGTGAAAAATTTCCTCTATTCCTCTTAACTCAGGAACATGCAATGGGCTCACCCATTCAGTTCACTTCACTTAACATTATTGAGCATTTACTCTGAATTGGGCAGCAAGGTCAGAGCTGTATATAAAAAGATGAATAAGGCAGGGGCGCTTGGGTGGCTCAGTCAAGTATCTGCCTTCGGCTCAGGTCATGATCCCAGAGCCCTGGGATCGAGCCCCACATCGGGCTCCCTGCTCAGCAGTGAGTCTGTTTCTTCCTCTCCCTCTGCCCCTCTGCCTGCTTGTGTTCGCTCTCTCAAATAAATAAAATCTTTAAAAAAAAAAAAATGAATATGGCAGATCTTTACCCTGGAGCTTAGCCTAGAGGAGGACATGTGGATAAAAAGCTTTTTATAGCAAAATTTGGCAAAGTGTATTGAAGATACAAAGTGTTAGGAAGGCAAAAAGAGGAATTATACCTAGTGGGGTCAGGAAAGACTTCAAAAGCTAACCGAGACTGAACCGGGACTTCTATTGGCATTCATAACACACTTAGTCCAGGCAGAGGAGATCACATGATGAAGACAGATCAAAGAGATGTGAAAAGGCAAACTGTTAGGATACACCGAGATGGTGGTGGCCAGAGCACAAGATATGTGGGAGGGAGTGGTGGGAGACAAAGCTGAAAGTTACACTGGAGCCAACGAGTGAAGAGCCTCCCGTAGGCTACATCAGGGCGGTAGCGCTGAAGGGAAAGAAGTTGGGATTGTTCAATATAGTTGTCGACTGATACAGTCGAATTAATTCGGTCCTGTGTGCTTGTGGGCATGAAGATAACTGGAAGGGTAATCCAAAAAGCCGTGTGGAGGCCGAGTCACGCGCTGTGAACTGGGACCAGGCCGCCAGACAGCCGCGCCCACACGCCACCCGGAGTAGGGGGCTGGGGCCCGCCATCCCCACAGGGCCGGGGACCAGGGTTGGGCGGGAATCCGGTCCACGCACTCGGCGCGCTCGCGGGGACGTGGCGCTTTCCAGCCAATCCCGGTTACGCGACTGTAGGGCCAATGGATGTCGGGGAATGCTGCACGTCAGCGGCGGGTTCGTTGATGATTGGTCAGGAGGCCGCCGGCGAGGCGGGTGGGGGCGGGGCGCGGAGCTGCTTCCGGTTGGGCGGTGCTTGCGCGCGTGAGCTGAGCCGGTGGGTGAGCGGCGGCCACGGGAACCTGGGCTGTGGGCGCTTCGAGGAAAGGTAGGTCCTGCGGTCCCCAGTTCTTCTGCAGCCTCGTCCTTTTCCGCTTTTTGTCGTCTGCACTCGCTCCCGACGCGGCATGGGTCCCCTTCGTTCGGGGCCCCTGTTTCTGCTAGCGCGGGAGGAACGGGCCCTGAGCCTGCTCGCGACCCCGCGGCCCTCGGCGCGCAGTCTGAGTTGAAGGCCGCCGCTCGCCCTCCCGCGCGCGCCGGGAAGGGGCCTGAGTCTCGGCGAACTCCGGCTCCCGGTTTTGCGTTCTGGGGGGTACTGTTTTGTGCCTGGCTTGCCACGTCCTCGGCCCCTGGGCTCCGTCTCTCACCGAGTCCCTCCTGTTTGCCTACTGAAGGTCGGAGGGCAGTGGGGTAGTGTTAGTGTAACAGTTCTCTGCCACCTCCCACTAACCGGCCTACCTGTGTCCTCCAGCCCAGCCCCAAGGCCACATCCCGAGAGTCGGGTGCGTCTGCCAAGAAAGTCGTGTTCGCTGACTTTGAGGGTGTAGAAACGGGGCGGGGGGAGGGGGTGGGGGAGAATGCCTGAAGACACTATGTGATTAAAAAAAAAACACCTTTGTGTAATTTTAAAGAAAAGCCGACTGCTTCGAGCTTCCGTGTTTGGCTGTATACTTCTGTCAGTGACGGGAAATAGTTTTTAAGCTTTATTAGGGAATTGTATTTTACCTTTTTTGTTGCTTTTAGCTATAGATCTTAGTTCTGATTTTTGGCATGCTGTGTTGAGAAGTAAAGTTAATTCCCAACCGCTGCCCTGATTAAGAGCATAGTTAGGTGGTAGGTAGTTTTGAAAGCAGCTTGTGCACTATGGCAAAAGTTTCCTGGGTCTCCTGCTAAAATTGTAGGGCCCTTGATCTCAATTCCTGATTGTTTAAATTCTCAGAGTAATGTCTCTGAGAATTGAATTGCATTCACTTCCTGGCGGCATGTGCCATAAGATCAACGTTAATGAATTGGGAATAAGGTTGCTTTTAATATGGTTTTGTAGTTGGGAAGTAGAGAACGTGTAGTCTCCCGATAAATTATTTTTTGCCCTAGAGTGGAAGACACAAGACAAATGCATGTCTGACCTCATTCCATGAATTTAGTTAGCCAAGTGACGATGGCCATCACTGAAGAATTTAAGTATTATAGTACAAATTTACAGTACAAACCTGTAAATTGTATTTGTGAGTAGAGAATGAATTGCCTAGGCCTAATCTGAGTTTTACAGTGATTCAGGGGTCTCCAGTAGGATTTTTTTTTAAGAATTGCAACTAGGAGGACCATGAACTGTTAAAGATGAATTGGGTATGCCTGAGTGGATGGTACTTGGTTACAGCTTTGAAATCAACTCCTACCACTAACTCTCAATATAATTCTTGGCTTCCGTTCATCCAGTAATGTGTCACAAGATACATATTGGTGGCATTTTCTATACATTGCACCAGTACAGGAGATTGGTAATTGATATTAACACAAATTTTCTATAACATGGGTGTGCCAGGGGTATTGGAAGGACAGAGGTGTAGCCAGGGATAGCCGTTGGAGATGCTAGGCCGTAACATCCTAGATCCTTTGTGAACTCTTAAATATGGGTGTTGTTGATGTTGTAATTTATGTATTAGAGTTAAAACAGCTGAAATAACACTTGCCTGTTGCTGCCTGATGGCCAGATCCGGTGAGGGGAATTGGGGGTTGGGGAGCAGGCAGGAACTGCATTGCTGCCAAGTACTGTCCAACTAATCCAGTAAAATGTATTGGTATATAAAAAATGTAAGACATTGTACTGGGGACTGTAGAAAGATATTAATTTATATTAGCTGAGAGTCCCGCCTTTTAAAAGTGTACTATCTATAGGGGAGCTAAGGAGACAACTTAAAGTAGCCTATGATCATTATTGTGGAGTGGTACAAGTTTTATAAAAGTTAAGAGGAATGGGTACGGATTACTTCCAGATGGAGTAATCATAGTAGATAGGTCTTTTCATCTAGGACTTTAAAATTATTTATAGACATTTGGCACCGAAGGGAGGTTGAGCTAAAATAACTACCAAATTCTCAAGGACTTTATGTGTGTTAAACATGCACTCCAAAACTGCAACTAGAAAACAAAGCTCCTGTCCCTACATTTTGCAAAGCATTCCTATGGCAATTAATTATGTGTTAAAGTTTCATCAGCCCCAAAGGAAACTTTTTTCTTCCAGAATTTTTAGAACTTTTTTCTTAATTTTTTCACTCCGTAGCCAGAAAATTTTAGTTTGTACTGAGCTGCTTTGGTTATAGAACTAAGGAAGCCTGAGTAATAGTTTGTCATTCTCAAAGCTCTTCTTTAGGCAAATTTTGCAGTTTTTCTATTCTCAGCTGTCATATAAATGTGTGCTCTCAGTACCACAAATAATTTAATTAGAATGTGTTAATGATCTAATGTAAATTTGCTTTGTCACTAGAGAAACATGGACTAAATGGTTTGTCATTATCATAACTTTTATCAGATCATGCAGGATGACATTATTCCTTGAATGTGATAATCCGTTGTACTTGCACTAAAGTTGTAAGTGAAGAATGTCAGATAACCAGATAGCTTTAATTTCTAGATTTTATAACCTGGGCCTTAGTATACTTAAGCTGCTGTCAGGCTGTTACCCCAACCCACAACTGAAGTGGACACTTAGGCAGTGAGATCCTCTTTTTGCTGCATTATAGAGGATTGTCCTTTTTTGCTGATTATCCAGCTCAGAGAACTGGAATTTTACCACCACACCCATTTCTCCCACTTGTTAACTTTGAGTAATGGGTCTTTGATCAACCAAAATACCTGTGGGATCACTCAGTGCTAATGTTCTTGAGAAGTTGTATTTAATCCAGACATCTGAATTTCCCTGGAACAATTTAAGTGTTCTGTGACCAATGACTGGGAAGGAAGGGAGGGAAATGGCAAGAATTTAGAGCTTTCAAGGAAATTTTTGAATGGATAAAATAAACTGATTCTTAAGGCTAATCTTTGTTATTGAAAGAAATTTAAGCTTATGCTATTAATTTTCTCCCTATGAATTAACTGGAGCAGTTCATGAAAATAACTTTTGCGGGAGACCATTATTGGTGATATACTTTGAAGGATGATAGTTACTTGATATCTTTCCTGTTCTGTTTAGTTTGTGTCTCTAACATGGCATTATCCAGTAGAAATATAGTACATGTCACATGAATACATTTTTTCTTTTCTTTTTTTTTTTTTAAAGATTTTATTTATTTGACAGAGAGAGACACAGTGAGAGAGGGAACACAAGCAGGGGGAGTGGGAGAGGGAGAAGCAGACTTCCTGCAGAGCAGGGAGCCCGATGCGGGGCTCGATCCCAGGACTCTGGGATCATGACCTGAGCCGAAGGCAGACGCTTAATGACTGAGCCACCCAGGCGCCCCAAATACATTTTCATCTGAAATTTTAAAACAGATTAATGTTAATAATTTAATCCAGTGCATACAAAATGCCATTTTTTCTATGTAAAGTGTAACACTTATATCACATCTTATTTACACCAGCCACAGTTCAAGTGCTTAGCAGCTGCATGTGATTCATAGCTATTGTCCTGAACAGTACAGGTCTAGATTTTTTTTTTTTAATATTTTATTTATTTCATTTGAGAGAGCACATGCAGGAGCCAGGGGAGGGGCAGAGGGAGAGGGAAAAGCAGATTTCCCCGTGAGCAGGGAGCCCGACATGGGCCCAATCCCAGGACCCTGAGATCATGACCTGAGCCGAAGGCAGACACTTAACCGACTGAACCACCCAGGTGCCCCAGATTTTCTTTCTTTCTTTTTTTTTTTTTTAAGAAAAAATATTAGATGTTATCCTTGGTGAAGGTGGGACAGAATTATAGAAAGAAAAACTTACAGGTCATTTGAGAAATAGGAGATGGAGAGATGCTTTTTCCACAGCCATTGATTTACCTTCTAGATCACATGATAAAAGTTCATACATCTATGTGCGCCATTTATGTTTTCCTGATATCCTGTTATCTATTGATGTGTAGCTGTGATGAAGAGGGAAGGAGAAAGAGAAAGGCCATTATTTGGTTTCAGTTTGATTGAAAAGATAAACATGCTTTAGAAATAACTGCACTAATGTAGTTCTTCAAATACATTGTGTCAAAGGTTGTTTTGTACTGTTCTCACATCTTCCTATATAAAATATCCTTTGTCTTGGTGGATATCTTTTGTTTCTACTTGAACATTTTTATGTACTGTATGGATTTAGATAAATCTAGTACAGTCTTTTTTTAGTGTCTATATTCATAGAACAAGAGGCCTTTGTGAAAGTTTCTAATAGCCAGGAGTTGGTATATTATATGTGGGTACAAAGGGTGTATATTTTTTTTAAAAGTTACTTAAAGTGCAGGGTTTTTTATTGTCCACTGCAGAGAGGTGAAGGTAGGACCATTGGCTTTGTCCATCACGTGGTCCTTGTGACCTTTTTAAGAAGTAGTTCCATCAGTGGTAGGTAGAAAGCTAGATTTCACAGTGGCAGTAGGTGGTGAGGAGCAGAGATAGCAGTATAGACACTCCTGTGGGTGAGGGAAAGGGAAGGGCAACCTTGAATGAATAGCGAGGTCTGGGAAAGACAGATTTTGGATTGTGGAGACCTGAGTAGTAGTGATTGGCAAAATGGGGGAAGGAGCCTTTAGAGGCGTGGGATTGGAAGTTAATTGAAAGAGAAGGAAAAGGGATGGATAGATAGATGATAAAGCAGAAGCTCTTGACTTTTACTCTGGAATTCTCTTATCCTTGTTATCAAGATGTTAAGCCTCAAACTTAAATGTAGCTTTGCCTCTAAATCACAGTGAATCAGTGTTACATTTTTGTATGTTACATGTATCAAAACTTTGTACAGTATCTTTTCCAGGCCTGGTAATGGGCTTAGGCATTATTTATATTGTAACATTTGAGGTTTGCAAGAGTTGTTAAGGAATTATGCAAGAATTGTTGGGGTATTTTATTCTGAGGATGTAATTAATCATATATAAAATTTTCCTAAATGTGAAGTTTCCTTATTAATAGGTATAAGGAAAATCAACTGTTGCAGTGACTTGATTTTACTTGATTTTGTAAACCTCTAACATTATAGATATTGTTTGGATATATCACAAAATATCCACAACAGAAATTTGTTCCTTTTCTCTACAGAGTTTTATTGGTCTAAAGAAGTGTTTGTAGTTTGAGATGGAAGTCTTATTTTGTCCTAAAATAAAGTCATACTCATTTTGGCATTTAAGAGAGCCATTAAATCTCTTAATTTTCTCTTATGCCACTGATTTGATTGATCAGTTGAATTATTGAAGGACAAGCTGAAGTGTTACTCTAAAGCAGCATGTTTTACTTTAAAAAGAGTTTATGTCTTAATAGATATGTGTTTTTCTTCAGTCTCCTTTTTCAATCTGGAGAAATGGCTTGAAAATGTTTTCTTTGCAACTAGTATTGAAAAGAGTTTTTATAATATTTAAAAAGTAATATACACAGGTAATACACATGAGTGTGTATTCATTTACAAAATATAGACAGCAGAGTACAATACTAAAGTTCATACCAGCCTCACCACCCCGCCCATCTCTTCTCCCTTGAGTCTGGGGGTTACCACTGTTTACAGATAGATGTTTATCCTTCCACTCCGTTTTTATTCATATGTGTTCTATATTATACAAATACAAACAACCTGGGAGGTTATTTGGTTTCGCTTATTACATAAATGAAATCTTAACATTGTTTTGCAACTTGCTTTTTGTTGTTCACTTAAAGTGCCATGGCGAATTCTCCGCTTCAGTGCAGATAGATTCACCTCATTCTTTTTAACCTTTGTGTAGTCTCCCATAATAGAGGTTTCGTGTGTATTTACTAGTTCTCTGGTTTTGTTTGTTCTCCATTCCTTTTTTATCATTATAAACTGTCATTATGGAATATCTTTGTGCAGGTGTATACAAATTTGGGCGTTTCAATGGGCTAGCATGAAACAGAATACTGATAAACTTTCAGAAGCATAGCTGAGTTCTGATGTTGGTAGGAACAGCTTAAGAAAAGTCCCACCTTCTTCCCGGTTGTCTAGCGGTCTCTTGGTCTTGCTTTTTCACATTGCTTCTTACGGGTTTTCATCAGTCTCACCAACCATCCAGTAAGAGTACTATTTTTTGGAGAATGAGCATTCCAGGAGTGACTGCCTTCAGTCATTTCCTTAGAGGCGTTTCTATTTGACTTATTGGTGCTGTCCTATTTACTGTAGAATACTTTCTACTCTCTGTTGATGCCTCCTCTGCCATTTCAGGACCTTCTCACCCTTCCCCACTGCGCTGCTTTCCCAGGCACTGCGTACAGTGTCCTTGTGTGCTCTTACAACCTGAAAGTTACTCATGGAGACCTCAGGTTGTGCTTTTGTATGATCATCTTTCTAGGTTGTGTTGGGATTAAACATATTTCTCTATTTGCTTTCTTTCTACTTTTAAGGAATCTTTATGTAACATGCTCACCATTAGCTGTTGTAAGCATTTTTTAGTTTACTGAATCCAAAGAACTCTCTAAATCCAAGGTAATGCAATGTAACTTCCTTTACTATTTGGTGGTTACAAGAAAAACAGATACATTGAAATATGTCTAATCTGTTGGCATACTTAATTTCTTTAATTTAATTAATCCCCTGGAACAATTCATTCTAGCTCCCAAAACTTTCAGGCAGGATCAGCTATATGCAGTTTCTTCATGTTAAGTATATTTTCAGGTCAGTTTTTTTTTTTTTTAAGATTTTATTTATTCATTTATTTATTTAATTTATTTGTCAGAGAGAGCACAAGCAGGAGGAGCCGCAGGCAGTGGGAGAAGCAGGCTTTCCGCTGAGCAAGGAGCCTGATGCGGGGCTCGATCCCAGCACCCTGGGATCACGATCTGAGCTGAAGGCAGACTGAGCCAGCCAGGCACCCCTAAGAGAAATAATTCTTAATCAGGAAGAAACAAGATAGATAGGGGTGTTTGTATGATTGCAGCTTTATTTTTTTTTTTTAAGATTTTATTTATTTGAGAGTACGTGTGCACGAGCAGGGGGAGGGGCAGAGAGAGAGGGACAAACAGACTCCATGTTGAGCGGGGAGCCTGATGTGGGACTCGATCCCAGAACCCTGGGATCATGACCTGGGCTGAAGGCTGATGCTTAACCGGCTGAGCCACCCAGGCATCTCTCAGGTCAAATTTCTTAAGATATTACTATGGCTGTTTGAGAGGTTAGTTAAAATAGTGGTTCTTAGCCTGGCTGCCTTTTAAAAATATTAAGTTAGGGGTGGGATTTCGTGATCATATTTTCTTAAAAGTCTTTGGGTGATTCTAGGGTATAGTCTAGATTGAGAACCACTAAGTTAAAAGTTATGCTGAAAGAATTCATGTTTTTAAAAATATTTACATATAAATTGTGAGCCCTTGGACTAGATGGTTCCACTAGTGACAGCCTGGGGAAGGTGAAGTCTGTCTAGCTTAATCTGCAAATTAGAGTAAGGCAATGCATTTACCTTTCATGTGATACAGTGGTCCTCTGTACTGAGCCTTTTATTAGTTTCCTAGGGCTGCTGTAACAAATTGCCACAAACTGGGTGGCTTAAAAGGTCAGATATGTATTCTCTCATAGTGCTAGAGGCTAGAAGTTAGAAATCAAGGTGTTAGCAGAGCTATGCTCTGTCTGAAGGCTCTAGGGGAGGATCTTTCCTTCCCTCTTCCTAGCCTCTGGGGTTGCCTGGAATCCTTGATATTCCTTGACTTGCAGATGCATCATTCCAATCTCTGCCTCTTCATAACTTGGCATTCTCTTCTCTGTGTGACTGTCTAAATTTCCCTCCTTTTATATCAATGATTGGATTAGAGCCCACCCTCTACTCCAAAATGACCTCATTTTAACTTAATTACATCTGCAAAGATCCTGTTTCCAAGGTCACATTCACGGGTACTGGGACTTCAGGATATATATCTTTTGGGGGGGACACGGTTTAACCTACAAACAAGCCTCATGCCTAATAACCACCTGCCTATCCAGTAAGGGAGCCATTGGTTACAAGTGGAAATGAGTTAAGAGATTTTGTGAATTTACAAAAACTGACTCACTACAGGGGGAAAGGCATTTAGAATTCATGTTCTACTGGTCAAAGAGTTAAAATATGAAAATTGGGAAAACCTTTCCTCTTGATTTTTAATTTTATAGTTTTTTTCTCTAAGACCGTAACCTCTCTAGACAATATTCTGGGGAATCTGTAGAGTATGCTAAACAAGTTACCATCCTGCAGCTTCTCTGCAATTTTTTGGTCAACATTTTTTGATAAAGTGTTCCAGCCTTGGGGGCGCCTGGGTGGCTCAGTCGTTAAGCATCTGCCTTCGGCTCAGGTCATGATTCCAGGTCCTGGGATCGAGCCCCGCATCGGGTCCCTGCTTGGCGGGAAGCCTGCTTCTCCCTCTCCCACTCCCCCTGCTTGTGTTCCCTCTCTCTCTGTGTCTCTCTCTGTCAAATAAATAAATAAAATCTTAAAAAAAAAAAAAAAAAGTGTTCCAGCCTTGTGCTTGTTCATTAGAGTCAGCTGTGACTGCCGAGATTCTGAAAGTACGGAGTAGAACCCAGGGATCTGTACTTTGAACAGTACTCCAAGCATCCTTATGCCTGGGCAAGTTTGGGAAACCCAGTATAAGGAATGCTAAAGCAGTTGTTCTCCATTACCGTACCATCTGAATGGTTTGATCTTTGAAGGTGGTTTGAGGTTGAGCATGAATATGGGAGACAACTTGTTGCTGTATACAGGACAACTGATCTCAAATATTTTGTGGTTCCTAATCTAATGATCACCGGAATCACCTGAGAAACGTTTAAAACTTCAGAGATTCTAATTCAATAGGGGAAATTTTTTTAAAGCGGCTTTGGTGATCCTAATAACCAGCCAGTTTTAAAGACCAGACCCCTGATACAATACAAAAGTAAAGTTATTTGGAGTCAGTAGGTCTGAATTTAAATGTTGGTCTTTTTGTGGGGCGCCTGGGTGGCTCAGTTGGTTAAGTGACTGCCTTCGGCTCAGGTCATGATCCCAGGGTCCCGGGATGAACCCCACATTGGGCTTCCAGCTTGGCGGGAAGCCTGCCTCTCCCTCTCCCACTCCTCCCTCTTGTGCTCTCTCTCTCTCTCAAATAAAATCTTTTAATAAAAAAAAAATGTTGGTCTTTTTGCTTTTAAGTCTTAAGAACTTGGGCAAGAGGGTTAATGTTCTACTTTTGTGTTTTTAATCTTTTTTTTTTTTTAAGATTTTATTTATTCATTTGAGACACAGAGATACAGAGAGAGAGCATGAGCAGTGGGAGAGGCAGAGGGAGAGGGAGAAGCAGACTCCCGGCTGAGCCAGGAGCCCGATGTGGGGCTCGATCCCAGGACCCTGGGATCATGACCTGAGCTGAAGGCAGACGCTTAACCATCTGAGCCACCCAGGCACCCTACTTTTGTGTTTTTAAAAGGGAGCCTACTTACAAGGTGGATATTTTAACTGATTCCATGTCAGCTTCCAATCAGATGAAGGAAACTGGTGAAAATTTGTCACCATAAAATTGGAAAGTCTGATATTCTACCATTCTTATTTTATGGATTAAGTAATAATATTTGGGATAATATCAGAATAATAACTGGATATGAGTTTTAATTTCTTATTTAATTACAGAGCACACTGCTTCCTGAATTAACTAACCTTTGTTTTTCTTTAAGATCTAATTATCATGGACCTGCGACAGTTTCTTATGTGCCTGTCCCTGTGCACGGCCTTTGCCTTGAGCAAGCCCACAGAAAAGAAGGACCGTGTACACCATGAACCTCAGCTTAGCGACAAAGTTCACAATGATGCTCAGAGTTTTGATTATGACCATGATGCCTTCTTGGGTGCTGAAGAAGCGAAGACCTTTGATCAGCTGACACCAGAAGAGAGCAAGGAAAGGCTTGGGTAAGGTGCCAGCTCTCAGGGGGCTAAAGTAATGACATTTCTTTGTAAATCACCTCATTCTTTTTTTCTCTTCTGGCTTGGCCACCCAGTAAAACTGTTTTGAACTACATTCTTCTGAAAGCTAACCACAGAATTCCTACCACTAAAATTTAATTGCTTGCTTTCATACATTTCTCCACTGAGTAACAGTTTACCTCATTCTACAAAGCAAAGTCATTTTTCGTAAAGGTACCAAATGCTGCAGGACCCAGATCGAACTGCATCTTCTTTCCAAAGGAACATTACATGGGGGGCATCTCATCCCTGCTGCTTTTAATTTTTAAAAATGATCCGTGACCTATTATTCATTGTTTCCCAAGCCAAGCCTTTGAGTGGATAATAAACTGCAAATGAGACCCCTGGGCTAATTTCTATACAGTTTGTGATTTTTGAGAATGTCCTTCACCTTCTTTGTTTTCATTCTCAGATATTTGCTTAATAAAAAACAAAAGCAAACCAATCTTGCCTTTTAGAAGATTGTAATAAGTAATGTTCTTAATGTCAGAGTGTGAGTTGCTGGGTTTTTTTGTTTTGTTTTTAAGATTTTATTTATTTATTTGACAGAGACATAGCAAGAGCAGGAACACAAGCAGGGGGAGTGGGAGAGGGAAAAGTAGGCTTCCTGCCAAGCAGGGAGCCCGATGTGGGGCTTGATCCTAGGACCCTGGGATCATGACCTGAGCTGAAGGCAGACGCTTAATGACTGAGCCACCCAGGTGCCCCTGTGAGTTGCTGTTTTTTGTTTTTTGTGGGTTTTTTTGAGAGAGAGAATGAGAGAGAGAGAGCACGAGAGAGGGAGAGGCAGACTCCCCACTGAGCTGGGAGCCCGACGTGGGACTCGATCCCGGGGCTCCAGGATCATGACCTGAGCCGAAGGCAGTCGCTCAACCAACTGAGCCACCCAGGCGCCCCTTGTGAGTTGCTGTTTTAATAACAGCTGGGCCATAGTTGGGTTCTGTGGCTCTCAGGAGGCATCTTTTTACCTAGTGAGTTGATTTGGTGGAATCCCAGTTGATTATTTCTGAGGATCTAGGAATGTCTTTTTTTTTTTGGCTCATCCAAAGCCTTGCTTTTTGAGGAAATGTGGATTAATTTAGTGAACATTTTCTCCTTAATGAGCACCATTGGTGTAACTTTCTGAACTATATTTAAGCGATTTGTTTGGAAAGTTGTACCACATAAGAATTTCCAAAAGTATTTTGTCATCATGGATAGTCCTATGAGTAGAAGACATTATAGAGGGACGCCTGGGTGGCTTAGTCGGTTAAGCGTCTGCCCTTGCCTCAGGTCATGATACCAGGGTCCTGGGATCGAGTCCCACGTTGGGCTCCCTGCTCGGCGGGGAGCCTGTTTCTCCCTCTGCCTGCCATTCCCCCGCTTGTGCGTTCTCTCTCTGACAAATAAATATATAAAATGTTTAAAAAAAAAAAAAAAAGACATAACAAAGTTTGTTTTGGGTGATACTTCGGAATAAATTTATTTTATCCTTTCATTGGATTATCTGCTAACTGAAGAGTACAATATTTTATTCTTAAACACTGACAGAAATACTCAAAAGATTTTGCTATGTAGAATGAGAAACTATCTTCAAACATTTGAAAATAGAAAAAAACAAATACATTAAAGAGTCAGTCTTCTATTAGGTTACTTTTCTAACTTTAAGAGACCACGCTCACTTTTAATTTTAATCTTCTAACTGTGCTAACATTTGGGCTAAAAATAGGGATGCGTGAAGGTGTTTTGGTCTTCATGTCTTACCTGTTAATAATGTGCATGTCCGACCCACATTTGGGTCTGCACATGGCTCTTCACAGAATTACTCTTAAATAATGAAGGGCCTTTAGCCTTGGTGTCAGTCAGTATATTCTGGCTCTCTGCAGGTAGTGGAATAGCTCTGCTAGCAGTTGTCAGTAGAGAGAATGTTCCTTTTTGTCGTTAGTAAATAGCAAAAGGTCAATACATGAGCAGACTCTATATTTGATTAGAATAAGATGGTTAAAATAATGCTTTTCATAGAATGTATGAATGAATACTATTTGCTTCTAAATTTTGGAGATAATGAGAAATAAGGTGATGTACTATGGAAGCAAGGATTCCAGATGAACTTTCTTCTTTTTTTTCTTTTTTTAAACTGATTCATTGTGGCATTTCTAAACATTGTTTTGATAGGTGACTGCACACCAGACGTTGGGGACAACAGATTCCCCACCCCACCCCTTCTGCCTATATAGAAGACAAGTGATTAGGAGAGAAGATCATTGTTTACACCTGTAGTTGCAAAAATTCACGACTATTTTAAAATCTTCAGTAATATCTAAAAACATTTAATATAGTTTTCCCTTTTTCTTAAGAATGTTGACAAAAAGAACTTTTTTTCTTTTTTCTTTTTTTTAAGATTTTATTTATTTATTTGAGAGAGAGAGAACACCTGAGAGGGGATAGGGTCTGAGGACGAAGCAGACTCCCTGCTGAGCAAGAAGCCCGATGCGGGACTCGATCCCGGGACTCCAGGATCATGACCTGAGCCGAAGGCAGTTGCTTAACCAACTGAGCCACCCAGGCGCCCTAGAACATTTTTTCTTATGTGTGTATTCTCCCCTGGCCACCCAAAGAAGTCTTAAGTGCACTTAATTTTCATTTATGTGTCCTTCAAATGAGGTTTATTTGTTTTGAGGTGGTGGTTCTTCATATTAAAAGTTTTCACCCTTGGTATATTTGCCTTAGAAATGAACTAGAGCAGTTCATCATCACAGACCAACCCCTTTGAGAGTCTAAGGAAAGCAAAGGACTCTACCTCAGAAAAGTACATATATGAATATGTATTAAATTTTGCATGCTAAAAATTTCAGGAATATTATGAATCCTCCTGGAGCCTATTTACTCAGGTTCACTTAAAAAACAACAACAAACAAAGGATTTGCATTTTGACTCTTGAAATGTGGAGGCATGTGTTACCTCTTAGGAGAAATAACATAAGGTCCACTAAGTACATTGTGTCTATCCTGAAATGTTTATTTGGTGGCATCATATCTACATCTATAGGGTTCTTCAGTGTCACAGGAAAACAACACCATTAGCTTCATAAATTTGCACAGGCTTTAAAAGATCAGAGTTTAGAACTTAGTGCCTAAAATAGGACATACCCACTTCCAGTGTACTTTCACAGCTGCCTGCAAGCTGGATGGCCAGCAAGATAAGAATGGCTTTTATATTTTTAAATGGTTATTAAAATGTAGAGATATGTGACAAACCATTTGTGGCCGACAAAATAAGAAATATTTACTATCTATCCCTTTTCAGAAAAAGTTTGCCAACCTCTGTGTTAAAGCATTTGAGATATTTCTGTTGGAATAAATAGAGTGGCATTCAGCCAACTTCATTAACAAAAGCCCATCTTGAGCAGTCATATGCTTCTTTATCTGAATGATCCTTCTCTTCAGGCTATTTATAATAGTTTACAATTTTCCTTTGAGACTGGGAGCCATTCTGATACCTTACCCTTTTTTTCTTAACGGTACAATGGCAGTATATTGGTAGTCAATACCATTTGGATATAAACTGGGTTCCATTTTAGATAATGCAGGTTTTTAATACTGGTAGAACTTAATGTGTTAATATTTTTTTAAACTCTCCAGGGTTAAAGTTGCAAAAAAACAATTTGTCTTATGCTCATGTAGATAGAGGAGGGTATTTAAGATATAGCTTCTTACTGCTTTACCTTTTCTGTTAACTTTTTTTTTTTTTTAAGATTTTATTTTAAGACAGACACAGCAAGAGGGGGAACACAAGCAGGGGGAGTGGAAGAGGGAGAAGCAGGCTTCCCGCTGAGCAGAGAGCCCTATGCGGGGCTCAATCCCAGGACCCTGAGATCATGACCTGAGCTGAAGGCAGACGCTTAACGACTGAGCCACCCAGGCGCCCCTCTATTAACATTTTAGAGCAAAAGCTAGATTACACATTCCCTGAAGGAAAATGCTTGTTAAATTACAGAGTTTAAGTACTAGACAGTTAAGGCTAACAGCATACCAAATATCAAGATGAATCTCTTTTCATAGTGTCACTAGTACTCTGTGATTTTAATCATTTTCCAATGTTGTATTCATAAAATGCATAGTGGGAAAAGACATTTGCTACCAAGTGACAGTCTTTTTCAATCCTGCAAATAATAGGGCATAGGAGTATGCCAAGATTTCAAATCTCTTGAATTTTTTTTTTTTTAAGATTTTTATTTATTTGACAGAGAGAGACACAGCAAGAGAGGGAACACAAGCAGGGGGAGTGGGAGAGGGAGAAGCACGCCTCCTGCAGAGCAGGGAGCCCAATGCGGGGCTCGATGTGGGGCTCCATCCCAGGACCCTGGGATCATGACCTGAGCCCAAGGCAGACGCTTAATGACTGAGCCACCCAGGCGCCCCCTCTTGGATGTTTTGATTTGAAGTTCCCATTCCAAACTGGGCTACTTACTTGGGTGACTTTACATAGGTTGTCTGTGCCTCTATAAATGAGTGGTTGCATGGTTGCATCTTCAGAGGTTTTCATGTCATGCACATATTTCAAAATTCTTAAGTTAAACTTGAGATGGCAAACCTGGAAGAAAAGCTCATGAAGAGTGAAGTATATTGATTCTTTAGCTTTGTAGTTTTGCTTTATCATCTGTATCCTCACCCTCTCAGCTTATTAACATTCTCCTAAGCTCACATACGTCAGGGCAGACATTCTTACCACATCATTTCCTCAGAGTTCTCTGTTTTTGTGGTTATATGTGAAAGTCCAACATAATGTATAATTAGCTGCTAGCTATTTTTTTAGAATAAGCATGCGTCTGTCCTTCTGGCTTTGTGTAACTTTGTGAATTTTTTTTTCCCTCTGTTTGGGGGTGTGTGTGTATGTGTGTATGTGTTGGTTTTTTGGTTTCTGTTTTTAAATCTTGAGATATAAGTGATCCCAGAACTATCTTTGTATCTTTATATTTTTAACAAAAGTGTTCCTTTTTTTTTTTTTTTTTAAAGCAACTGAATTAAAAGTCTGGTTTAAATTTTTGAATTTTTTAGAAAACCGTATCAGTGATTGTGATTATTTACCAAGAAATTGAGATTCTCCTAAAAGCAATAAAGAAAAACATAAAGATTTGTGTGTTTTTTGATACAAAGAATGGAGAATCCAGATAGGGATGGGTATTCACTCCTGAATTCTGGCCGCTGGCTGTAACCTACCCGGGTCTAAAGGGATGAGACTGGGTTTGCTTGACTGGGTTTGCTTTTGCATGTAAGTGCACCAGCCATGGACTGTGCTTGCCTTATCTGGATGGCTCATTTCAGACCAGTAACAGGCCATTTATGAGAAATATTTTCAGTTGCTTGTCTGGAAGGTTTTTTGGAGACTTTTTTTTATGTCCATGCTTTAGCCCTGGGCAACACCTCTAGTTACAGCACACGCCTGGCTAGGTGTAGAGCCTTGTGTCCCTTTAACCTCTTGCTGGATTTCTCTGCATTTTCTACAGAAAGATTGTAAGTAAAATAGATGGCGACAAGGACGGGTTTGTCACTGTGGATGAGCTCAAAGACTGGATTAAATTTGCACAAAAGCGCTGGATTTACGAGGATGTAGAGCGACAGTGGAAGGGGCATGACCTCAATGAGGACGGCCTCGTTTCCTGGGAGGAGTATAAAAATGCCACCTACGGCTACGTTTTAGGTAGGTCCCTACTATCTGGGGGAAAAAGCCTTATGGAGCTGGCACCTTGAAACGTAACTGTTTTGTCTTGTAGAATGATTGTAGATAAAATAGACGTGGATAAAGATGGGTTTGTGACGGAGGGGGAGCTGAAATCCTGGATTAAGCATGCCCAGAAGAAATACATATATGACAATATTGAAAACCAATGGCACGAATTTGATATGAATCAAGACGGCTTAATCTCCTGGGATGAGTACAGAAACGTGACTTATGGCACTTACCTGGGTAAGGGGCAAGATGTCAGCCTGATAGAGACTGTGGTCTTGAGTCAAAGAAACAAATGGGTCACACAGTGAAGGAAAGGAAGAAATGGTGCTTATTTTAAATAGTCCAGTGCTGAACTGATTTCCCTTTATTTTATTAATTTTAAATGTGTATATTAAGTAATTTTGGCTTTCTAAGGTCTGGCATCTTCTACATCTTCAGCATTTCAGATATTTTACCAATTTTTCTTTCTGTGATCCCTCAGAGACCATTTTTTGGGGTAGATCTCAGCTAAAAGGCTGCATTGTTTCAATAATGCAAAGCAAGAGACTTTGAGATGTCTCTTGACATGGTCACATTAAAGTATTGGACCTGATGGGTGTTTTTATGCAACTGATGAATCACTAAATCCTACCCCGAAAGTAATAATACACTATATATTAACTAAATTGAATTTAAATAAAATTTTTTTTAAAGTATTGGACCTGAAATTCAAACCAAATTAGACTCCTTTATCTGGTGAGAATAGGAAGATTACTGTCTTTCCTTAATAAAATAAATATCAAATATAATAGCTTTCTTTGATAAAATTTAACTGTTTTATTTTAGTATGTCTGCCTACCGAAGTTTAGAAATGAAAATTTCCCATTTGTTTTCTCTGGCACATGAGTTTATCAGCCTGCTATGCAAATGCTTCAAGGCAAATAAATGTGACTTTGATTGCTTTCTGTTGATTTAGGTAGCTTGTGTGCTTGGGCCACCTGTTAGTAATTTTCTTTTCCTTATTACACTTGCCTGTTGCTGAATGCTAGGTGGCAATCTTACAGAGTTGATGACTTAGGATGTTTTTGTTAGTGAGATTCCTCTACTTGGTTACAATTTGAGATAAGAATGTGTAAGTGTTACTTCTTGCATTTCTATCCTGGAAATTAGGCAAATTTCTGGGTTAAAGCAGGCATTCTCCACCACTGATTAACAAGCAGTGAGTGTATAATGGTCTGTTTCCCCTACTGGATAGCCAGCTGTCTGTGTTAATTACAGGACTGCATGCATTTCTAGTGAAGAGACTTTTATTTCTGTGTTGGGCTTGTTCTCATTCCTAAGACTAAAGTGGCAGTCTCTCTTCATGCTTGACACTTAGCCAAGAACCAAACATATCCTTCACCCAATTAAGAACATGTGTATTAAAAAGTCAATGCAGATGGAGAGGCACCCCATGCTTCTTGCTTTCTGGCTGAAAGCCAACACCCTCCTGATTTATTTGGACTTATAAAAATAGAGTGAAGGGTAGGCTATTGGTGATCTAAACAAAATGGTGTGTTAATAAATCTCCCGTTCAGACCTAGGCACTCACTTGCTATCCAGAATGAATCTTAAACTCTTTGTATGATTATGTGCATAAAAATCTGTTGAGAGCTCTTCTGCTCTCATAGGTCAAATGATTCAGTGTAATGGGTATTTCTACTGAGACTGCATAAGCTGAAGCACTTGCTAGAGAAGCAATATCTTTATAAGGCATCTTTCCCTCAAGGCATGTGGGTGGTTAGTGCTGGGGTAATGAGGTCGCTTACAGAAGTGCTGAGGGGATTTTTGTGAGAGTATGTTCTTGATTCAGTTTTTGAGTTCAGGCATAAATAATCTTAGCTTTTAATTAAAATCTGTCTTAATGAATCTGCTTTCCACAAAAGGAGGGTTAACGCTGTCTCTGCCGCAAGTGAAATAAGAAATACTAAGATCCATTGCGGCTATACCAAAACTAGATCAAGAGCCTACCCAAAATGATGCAGGCTGGATAGCACAGTAAACTGGTACTTAGGGTAGATCTGGCACTCCAAGCAATGACAGCAAACACATGAGTTTAGTTATTCAAAATAAAAGTTTTTTGTCTTCCTTTTTCATCTTTATGTATGTGCATGTTATCAGGCTACATGATTGCAGTCACCATGTTTTACCCTAAGGCAGTGAGGAGGGCTCTTTGTTGAGAATCTAGTCTTAATATATAAGTTGTCTTCTATTATCTTCTTTTTTTTTAAGATTTTATTTATTTGACAGAGAGAGAGAGAGACAGCCAGTAAGAGAGGGAACACAAGCAGGGCGAGTGGGAGAGAGAAGCAGGCTTCCCGCTGAGCAGGGAGCCCAATGTGGGGCTCGAACCCAGGACCCTGGGATCATGACCTGAGCTGAAGGCAGACGCTTAACAACTGAGCCACCCAGGCGCCCCTTCTATTATCTTTATTTTTGTTGTGTAGTTAGGACTGAAACTTTGTTTAGAAAGATGACTTAGTATCTTAAAAAAGTGTATTTTCCTTAAATTCTCCATCTTCAACCTGTTACGGTTTTGAGTATCACGTATACTCATGATTCAATAAGCCGTCTTACTGAATTTTGACACTTAACGAAGAATGAAGCTTCAAACTGCCCAGCTCTCAAAATGGAGTAGTTTGTTTTCAAAACTGTGCTTAAAGTGTGGAAGGATTGAACTCTATATCAGAAATCAGCAGTGTGATGTTACTGTTAAAGGGCCCCTGTCGGTCTTTTTATAAAACTAGTGCCATATCTTTTTTTTATCTGATGGATGTGTTGTAGGAAAAATTGTTTCTTAGCTTTAATGTGGTGTCTTTTACATTCATAATATCTTCACATGTTACCTTTTGGTCCACACAACAGATTGAATCAGGGTTTTTTTATTCATTTGTTTTGTTTTTCCTACAGATAACTCCTTCACATTTTTTCAACTTAAACAAACTGAATTTTATTCTTCTAGATTGTTATATAGAGACTAAATAACTACTGCTTATGTAGTTCAGCATCCTAACAGATGGATAGGTCCAACTTCCAATTTGGTTGTAATCTACTGTTTAATTTTTGTAACAGCTTCATTGAGGTATAATTGACAAATAGTACACTGCACATATTTAAAATGCACAATTGATGAGTTTTGCCATAGGTATATACCAGTGAACCCATCACTACAATCAAGATAAATGAATATATCCATCACCCCAAAAAGTTTCCTCATGTCCCTTTATAATCCTGCTCACCTTCCCCATCCCCTATCTCTGGGCAACCCCTGACCTATTTTCTGTAACTCTGGATTAGTTTTGCATTCTAGAATCTTACATAAATGGGGGGGAGGGAGTGGCAAACAGTACTTGTGACTCATGGTAGATCTCTGAGTTGGCTGAAAAAACTATAGTGTGATCTTTCAGAGGGTAATATTCTGTTGTTTCAATCAGAGTGGCCTTAATATGAGATAGGAGGCCTTTGATATCTAGCTTCTCAATGGGAGCCTAATGTTAATAAAAATAGCAATAGCTAACATTTATTGGGAGCCAACTCTATGCTAGGCACTGTTCTAAGCACTTAGATTTATTTGCTCATTCACAACTCCTGACAGCCCTGTGCAGCCGGCACCACTATTATCTTCATTATTCGGATGAGTAGATTGAAGCACAATTAAGTTACTTGCACACAGTCACACAGTTAGGAGGTGGTAGAGTTTAGGATTCAAACCCAAATTGTATGGCTTTAGACTACCACTGTCTCTCAGATATAACCAGAAAGCTTGAACCTTCTAGTAGCCTTAACACCAAAAACAGCAAAGCGTCATGTAATAGGTCACATAGCTAAGGAGCCAGGGTTCCATTGGAGTGGCACACATTTACATCGCACCTGACTTTGATTACCAAAATGTTTTCACACTGTTACAATTTTACCTGTTATTTCTTCATTGCTTGGTTTATCTTTCTTGGAAATTGATTCCTCAGCCCACACATTTTCATGTTTTGTGGCAGTCTTAAGATTGGACTTAAACATTTTGTTTTCTAGATGATCCAGACCCTGATGATGGATTTAACTATAAACAAATGATGGTTAGAGATGAGCGGAGGTTTAAAATGGCAGACAAGGATGGAGACCTCATTGCCACAAAGGAGGAATTCACAGCTTTCCTGCACCCTGAGGAGTATGACTACATGAAAGATATAGTAGTGCAGGTTGGTGGAGAGCAGTGATTCTCAATGGAAACTCAGTTTCTCTTTTTGTTGATTATACTATTTTTCCTCTTTATTCTTTACTCTGTATCTGGAAGAATGGCTTGCTTTTATTTATTTATTTATTTTTAATTTTTTTTTTAAAGATTTTATTTATTAGAGAGAGAATGAGAGAGAGAGAGCGTATGAGAGGGGGGAGGGTCAGAGGGAGAAGCAGACTCCCTGCCAAGCAGGGACCCCCGATGTGGGACTCGATCCGGGGACTCCAGGATCATGACCTGAGCCGAAGGCAGTGGTTTAACCAGCTGAGCCACCCAGGTGCCCCTGGCTTGCTTTTATTTTGAAGTAAGCTCTAAGCCCCACCGTCAGGCTTGAACTCATGACCCTGAGATCAAGAGTTGGATGTTGTACCAACTGAGCCAGCCAGGCACCCCAGGAAAATCCTGTTTTTAAAAATGTTCCGTTGGGCACCTGGGTGGCTCAGTCATTAAGCGTTTGCCTTTGGCTCAGGTCATGATCCCAGAATCCTGGGATTGAGCTCCTCATCGGACTCCCTGCTCCACGGGAAGCCTGCTTCTCCCTCTCCCACTCCCCCTGCTTTTGTTCTCTCTCTCGCTGTCTCTCTCTGTCGAATAAATAAAATCTTTAAAAAAAATAAATAAAAATAAAAATGTCCTGTAGCCAGTGATCAGACACTAATAACAGTAATACTGAAGAATTCTCACAGAAGGCATTTACCAATAAAACATAAACCATGGACTTTATAGTTTTGTAAACAAAACATAGACTATAGCTATAGACACATTAGTCACATTTCCTGTGACTGTTAGAATGACGTCAGCATAACTAGGGCTGTTCCACATCATTGTGGGCTTGGTGGGATAGGTCATTTTTTAAACAGTGTACCAGTGTTCCTCCAAGAAGATTTGTAGTTATTTTGGGTTGAAGCATAAAAAACAAGTAATGTTTTACCATTTTTTAGCTAGAAAAACAGCAATTTCCTATGGTTTAACCATACCCACACATATACATATGTGTGGTGGGAGGGGGTTTAAGATTTTATTTATCTATTTGTCAGAGAGAGAGCACACAAGCGGGGGGAGCAGTAGGCAGAGGGAGAAGCAGGCTCCCAGCTGAGCAAGGAGCCCAATGTGGGACTCGATCCCAGGACCCTGGGGTCACAACCTGAGCCCAAGGCAGACACCCAACTGATGAGCCACACAGGCGTCCTTGTGTGTGTGTGTTTTAATGAATGCTAAATTATTGCCTAAATTTCATCCAGATACTAACTTTGTCTCCTCTTCTGTCTAGGAAACAATGGAGGATATAGATAAGAATGCTGATGGTTTCATAGACCTTGAAGAGTATATTGGTAAGTCTGTTTCTACTGTTTTTCCTAGGAGAAGCTGAGAAGCTATGGAAGTATGTTTGCCCATAGAAATAATTTACCCCATGGGTCAACTCGTAGCACATCATTAAGGCCAGACCAGTATGAGGAATAGTGGGTCATGATAAAGTATCTATAGCAGCACTGTCCAATCAAAATGTTCATGTGAGCCACGTATGTATTTTTACTTTTCTAATAGCCACATCAAAAAAAAAAGTTTCGGGCGCCTGGGTGGCTCAGTTGGTTGAGCGACTGCCTTCAGCTCAGGTCATGATCCTGGAGTCCCGGGATCGAGTCCCGCATCGGGCTCCCTGCTCGGCAGGGAGTCTGCTTCTCCCTCTGACCCTCCCCCCTCTCATGTGCTCTCTCTCATTCTCTCTCTCTCAAATAAATAAATAAAATCTTTAAAAAAAAAAAAAATGTTTCTTTAAAACATGATTCTTTCCTTTTTTTTTTTTTAAAGATTTTATTTATTTGACAGACAGAGAATGAGAGTACAAGCAGGGGGAATGGCAGGCAGAGGCCCAGGGAGAAGCAGGCTTCCCACTGAGCAGGGAGCCCGATATGGGGCTTGATCCCAGGACCCTGGGATCATGACCTGAGCTGAAGGCAGATGCTCAACCGACTGAGCCACCCAGTTGTCCCAAAACATTATTATTTTCAATAATGTATTTTATTTAGCCTAATATTCTAAAATACTTTCAACGTGTTATCCATATAAATTAAGGATTTTTTTTTCATACTGTCTTCAAAAGCATATTTTACACTTACAGTACATCTCAGTTCAGACCAGCCACATTTCAAGTTCTTGATAGCTCCGTGTGGCCAGGGGCTACCATATTGGATAGCAGTGATACAGTACATCCCAGATGCCTGTGGAATTGACAGTAAAGAGTTGCAGGGAGCCTAGGCTGGCATTAGGAAACCCAAGAGAAGAAGATAGGGAATAGAATAAAAGAGATCAGTGAGTGAATAAGCGACCACGAGTTGCTGATTTCTCTTAGAGCCTTTCTTTGCTCCTTTCCATGGTTTTCTGTTTGTGTTTTCTGTCTAGGTCTTCTATCTCCTTTTTTTTTCACCTGTCCCTTGAATTAAACAAGTTATTTCTTTTCTCAGATTTTATCTAATTATACTTGCTATTTATATCTAGGGTTATTCCAGTTGAATTACTCCCTGAATATTTACCATTCTGTTCTTCAAAGACTCAGTGATGTGTTTTGAGTTTTTTAGAGAAAGAGGGACGAAGAGAAGATAGATTTTTTTTTTTTTTTAACCAAAATGATTATTTTTAATGGAGTTCATCAGCACAGTGGAAATAAATGTCTGGGTGCATTTACTGAGCCTGTTTCAAAGTTGACTATTTCTACCTTTAAATATTTAATATTTTATCCTTTCATTCTTGTTTTTTGCCATTTTATCTTCATTGCTAAAACTGAGGAACTTATTTGAACCTCCAGAGGAGAAGAATTGTTTTTTTTTTTTTTTTTAAAGATTTTTATTTATTTGACAGAGACACAGCGAGAGAGGGAACACAAGCAGGGGGAGTGGGAGAGGGAGAAGCAGGCTCCACGCAGAGCAGGGAGCCCGATGTGGGACTCGATCCCAGGAGCCTGGGATCATGACCTGAGCCGAAGGCAGTCGCTTAACCGACTGAGCCACCCAGGCGCCCGGAATTAAGTTTTATAACTGTTAAGTACCATCATTTATCAAGCACTGAGGTCAAATAAGGAGATATTTCTTTCTACATCCCTATCATACAGATCCAAGGGCAGAGGAATTGTATTTTGAAACTATTAAAACTATCAAGTCTGTGTATGTATGTTTGTTGCTTTTTTTTGCAAATCATCAACTAATGTAAACACTTTTACACTGGGGATGCTGGGCTTTGTAAATCTGAAAGTCTCCCAAACAGTATCTTCCAGTTTCTGGGGATGTACCCTGTTGAGGAAAGAGATCATAAACAAATGGTCATTGTTTCTTACATTTAGCATTAATAAGAAGTCCCTGGAGTTATACTGTTAAATATTTTTATTCTTTAAATTTGTTATAGGGGCTCCTGGGTGGCTTAGTTGGTTAGGTGTCTACCTTCAGCTTGGGTCTTGATCCCAGAGTCCTGGGATCGAGCCCTGTGTTGGGCTTTCTGCTCAGTGGGGAGCCTGCTTCTCCCTGTCCCTCTGTCTGCCGCTCCCCCTGCTTGTGCACTTTCTGTCTCTCTGTCAAATAAATAAATACAATATTTAAAATAAATAAATAAATTTGTTATAGAACATTGCAAACATACACAAAATTAGATAGAATAGTATAATGAACCCCCATGCGCCTGTGCCCAGCCCTAACAGCCATCAGCCCATGGCCAGTCCTTTTAAATCTTTATCTACTTCTTTTTTTTTTCTGAAGAAAATCCCAATCATCATCTCATTTCATCTGTAAGCATTGGGTTATGTATCTCTAAAAACTTTTTTTTTTTTTTAAAGACTTTATTTATTTATTTGAGACAGAGAGAATGAGAGACAGCATGAGAGGGAGGAGGGTCAGAGGGAGAAGCAGACTCCTGCCGAGCAGGGAGCCCGATGCGGGACTCGATCCTGGGACTCCAGGATCATGACCTGAGCCGAAGGCAGTCGCTTAACCAACTGAGCCACCCAGGCGCCCACTCTAAAAACTTTTTTTAACATAATCTCAGATTATATTAAAGGGACTGAATCCTTTTTGAATAGAAAATTCTATAGTAGTATTGTTATCTTTACTTATCTAGCTTTAAAATGTACTCATTATGTCGTATATTCTAGCTTCTGTTAAAAGTAGGTCTTTTAAGGGGTGCCTGGGTGGCTCAGGTGTCCGACTCTTGATTTTGGCTCTGGTCATGATCTCAGGGTCATAAGATTGAGCCCCTCGTTGGGCTCTGGGCTCAGCATGGAGTCTGCTTGTCCCTCTCCCTCTGCTCCTCCCCTTGCTCCCTCGCTTGCTTTTTTCTCTCTCTCAAATAAGTAAATAAAATCTTAAAAATAAATAAATAAATATAATAAAAGTATGTCTTTTAAGTATACATGTATTCTCTCTCTAATTCAGAATTTCCTCATGTGTGTACTGTGAAAGTTCTTTTTTTTTTTTTTTTTTAAAGATTTTATTTATTTATTTGACAGAGAGAGACACAGCGAGAGAGGGAACACAAGCAGGGGGAGTAGGTGAGGGAGAAGCAGGCTTCCTGTGGAGCAGGGAGCCCGATGTGGGACTTGATCCCAGGACCCTGGGATCGTGACCTGAGCCGAAGGCAGACGCTTAACGACTGAGCCACCCAGGCGCCCCAAAATGTACTTACTTTTTTTTAAAGATTTTTATTTATTTATTTGACAGAGAGAGAGACAGCAAGAGAGGGAACACTAGCAGGGGGAATGTGAGAGGGAGAAGCAGGCTTCCTGTGGAGCAAGGAGCCCAATGCGGGGCTCGATCCCAGGACCCTGGGATCATGACCTGAGCTGAAGGCAGACGCCTAATGACTGAGCCACCCAGGCGCCCATTACTGTGAAAGTTCTTGACCCACAGGAGAGCTAAGGCAGGGCACTGGCCCAGTGGATTGTACAAATACTACATTTTCTGAATGTGCTGTAGCATAGAGAAAGAACTGGCAAGTCCTGCTGTCAGGTATTCCTCCTTTGTTTAAAAAAAAAGGTAGGTCTACTCTTAGCGCTCAAACTCAGGAAAATGACAGTACCAACTGTCAAATGACAGTAATACAGCTTAGTAACGAGTCTATCCTTTATTCAAGGGAAACAGCCCATGGATTGGGGAGTGCAGTGCCGAAAAGCAGCGGAGCACTTTTCCCAAGGGATTTTGGGCATGAGAAGAAGCAACGCAGAAACAGGGCGTGATTGGCTAGAAGGTCAGGGGTTTCCTTATAGGGCTAGCAGGTCTTGTGTTCTGGGGTCAGGTAAGCTGCTAAAGCTGAGTTGGGAGAATTGTGACTGGTGTATGTTAAATTTCTTTGGCAGTGTGGTGTACCCCCTAAGTGCAGGCTAGCTTGGGTTCAGATTTGTGCCGTGGGCCGTGCTGCTGGAACCACCCCCACTTTGTGGGTTTCAACATATGAATTACCTTTATCACGACTAAATACCTGTGCTTAGAACTGCTAGAAACTAGACGTATATAAGGTATGTTCCCATAGCTTGCGTGAAATGCACATATACTTTGATGTAGTAAACTCGGGAGTCTTCAGACTTCTTCACTCACATCATTCTAAAAGAATTTTGACAAACAGTATTCCCTTACATTTTAAAGTTGGCATCTACAGTATTTAAGTAGAAGTTTATATTTTTTTAAAGATTTTATGTATCTGAGAGCAAGAGCAGGAAGGGGAGGTAGGGGCAGAGGGAGAAGCAGACTCCCTTGGAGCAGGGAGCCCAAGGCAGGACTCCATCCCAGGACCTGAGCCAAAGGCAGACACTTAACCGAGCCACTCAGGTGCCCCTAAGTAGAAGTTTAAACGGTTGTAAAGAATAATTTCTCTTGGGGCGCCTGGGTGGCTCAGTTGGTTAAGCGACTGCCTTCGGCTCAGGTCATGATCCCGGAGTCCTGGGATCAAGTCCCGCATCGGGCTCCCGGCTCGTCGGGGAGCCTGCTTCTCCCTCTGACCCTATCCCTTCTCATGCTGTTTCTCTCTCTCTGCCTCTCTCTCAAATAAATAAATAAATAAAATCTTAAAAAAATAATAATAATTTCTCTTGGTTGTAAATACTGAATTTTAAAGTACTTTAACTCATAAATAAATCTAGTAAGATTTAAATACCGTAGCAACTTCTTTTTTTATTTGTTTGTTTTACCATAGCAACTTCTTACCTACTAGCATTCATATAAGTAATTTGAACAAACCAACTTTATTATTTATTTATTTATGGGGGTGGCGCTGGTGGGAGGAGCAGAGGGAGAGAGAGAATCCTAAGCAGACTTCATGCCCAGCACAGAACCTGACTCTGGGCTCGATCCCACAACCCTGAGATCATGACCCGAGCCGAAATCAAGAGTCGGATGCTTAACCGACTGAGCCACCCAGGTGCTCCTGAACAAACCAACTTTAAAAGATAATTAGGAAATTCAGATTTGGACTGAGTATTTGATAATACCAAAAGTTCATTTTGTGAAATGTGATAATGGACATTATGACTATGTAAGAAAATACCCATCATTTTTAGAGGTACATTCCAAAAAATACTTAGTAATTGGTTGTGCACAGTTTGGGCTTCTCGCACACACTTCTCAAGTTTACTTGAGAATTTAAAATAGCACCTTTCTTTTTTATAAGATTTTTATTTATTTATTTGTCAGAGAGAGCACAAGCAGGGGGAGCAGCAGAGGGAGAGAGAGAGAAGCAGGCTCCTCACTGAGCAAGGAGCCCGACGTGGGACTCGATCCCAGGACCCTGGGATCATGACCTGAGCCGAAGGCAGACGCTTAACAACTGAGCCACCCAGGCGTCCCTAAAATAGCACCTTTCTAATAGCAATAGGTTTAACTACCTTGGATCGAAATGGAATGTAGGGAACAGCTATCTTTTAAAAGTTATTTATCTTTCTGGTTGCTCGTCATTACCCTTTATTTCTGCATTTTTTTTTTTTTTAAGATTTTATTTATTTATATGACAGAGAGACACAGCGAGAGAGGGAACACAAGCAGGGGGAGCGGGAGAGGGAGAAGCAGGCTTCCCGCAGAGCAGGGAGCCGGATGCGGGGCTCAATCCCAGGACCCTGGGATCATGACCTGAGCCGAAGGCAGACACGTAACGACTGAGCCACCCAGGCGCCCCCATTTCTGCATTTCTTAAGGGCTAAGGATTCTCTTTGCACTCATATTATAATCAGCAATTGGAAACATTCTTTTTAAAAAATTTTTTTATTTAAATTCAGTAGTTAACATGTAGTGTATTATTAGTTTCAGGGGTAGAATTTAGTGATTTATCAGTTGCATGTAACACCCAGTGCTCATTATATCAAGTGCCCTCTTAATACCCATCTCCCAATTATTCCATCCCCCCACCCACCTCCCCTCCAGCAACCCTCAGTTCCCTATAGTTAAGAGTCTCTTATGGTTTGCCTCCCACTCTGTTTTTATCTTACTTTATTTCCTTCCCCTCCCCTATGTTCATCTGTTTTGTTTCTTAAATTCCACATATGAGTGAAATCATATGGTATTTGTCTTTCTCTGACTTATTTTGCTTAGCATAATATATTCTAGTTCCATTCATGTCATTGCAAATGGCAAGATTTCATTCTTTTTGTTGGCTGAGTAGTATTCCATTGTGTGTGTATATATATATATACCACATCTTCTTTATCCATTTATCTGTTGGTGGACATCTGGGCTCTTTCCATATTTTGGCTATTGTGGACATTAAGCAGTTGGAAATATTCTTGTTACAAGGTCATTAAGTAAGCCAGTAAGCCTCAGGAAAATGCCTTGCTTTCTAAGGCCTCGGACCTAAAATACCCTTGTAACTGCTACTAGGTTCCAGACAGATGAGCTGGAAGATGGATGAGGAAGAAAAGTTAAGCCAGATTACCACGTGGCAGTCTTGAGAAAAAGACAGACTCACCTTTTGCATTATGTACGTTTGTGCATGCAGGTGACATGTACAGCCATGATGGAAATGCTGATGAGCCAGAGTGGGTAAAGACAGAAAGAGAACAGTTTGTTGAGTTTCGAGATAAGAATCGTGATGGGAAGATGGACAAGGAAGAGACCAAAGACTGGATCCTCCCCTCAGACTATGATCATGCGGAGGCAGAAGCCAGGCACCTAGTCTATGAATCAGACCAGAACAAGGTAAGTCTGGCCAGGCCCAAACAACCTAGTAGCGATCAAAGTCTGTTTGTAGGGGATTGCCTAAAACATTCCTGTTGAGGTACATAGAGCATGTAAAGTCTTAATTGGTCTAAGTCTGCTACAAATCTTAAGTTGACAATTGAAAACTTACAGGGCAGTGCTACCTATCTGATCTCATTTTAGAAATCCCTTTGCCCAGTGTTCACACCATTGGAGGCATTTGGCTTCAGAAAAGAGCCTCTGTATATATAGCCTGTGTCCAGTGTGCGTCATCTGTTATCTTTGGATCCCCAGGAAATTTGCTTTTTTTTTTCTTCCTTTGTGCTTTTACCTATTGCAGGCTCATTTTGCCTGCTCAAAGTTGGTCATTTCCTTCTTAAATACACTTTTTAAAATTAAGTTCTTTATAGTGGGTTGTAAATCAGCATTTATCTCGAGCTTGTTAAAATTTTCCTTGATAAATTATCTGAGGCATTTGTTTCATAAAAAGAATGGTAGTCTCACTAAGCCATCACCTTTTCAGCAATTTTAATGCTCTGCTTAGAGTAAGCTGAAAATCAATCTAAAGGTGTTGGGGAGGGGGGGTTGTATTCTGAACATTCTCCTATCTAGGCCAGTCTTCTGTTTCAGATGCAGTGTCTTATCATCTGAGCCTTTTTAAGGCACAGTCTGTTTTGAGTTCTTGCTTCAGTCACTTCAGTAGCCAGGTGCTGTGTCCTGAGATACGTGAGAAAAGGAAACTCCCAAGGTCATCCCTTGTGAATCCGGCATAGATAATTTTTGAGCTGAGGTCTGAGCCTTCATTTGGGGTTGTGTCTGGAATCTGTTGGTGGCTAGGGCATTGCGGGGGTGAAGACTGTGTGGGAATGTTAGCAGATTTCATCGTTCCTGTTAGGCAATGACTGGATTCACTTTAAAGTATCTTCCCCGGTTCTTCCTGTCTCTTACCTATACATAGGAGATGGCCCACATTTTGCTTGATGCATTATGTTATTGAGCTGTGTTATTCCCGTCCTTCCACTTTTAACTTTCTTGATAAGAAAAATGTATTAATTGCTATTTTCTTCTCTCTTTGTGTGTATGTTGTGGAGGGTTGGGGGTGAAGGTTGAGTTCACATTTAATTTAGTGGGAATTAGAATCTTAAATCCTGATTAACCCCTTTTGTTCTGTAGCGGTGTTTCTAAATTTGGAATGGGAAATCGTTTTTGCCTCGATTCACTCTTCTCTCTAATTTCAGGATGGCAAGCTTACCAAGGAGGAGATTGTTGACAAGTACGATTTATTTGTGGGCAGCCAGGCCACAGATTTTGGTGAGGCCTTAGTACGACATGATGAGTTCTGAGCTGCATACAGAAGAACCCACATTTCTTCAAAAGTAATTTATTTTTACAGCTTCTGGTTTCACATGAAATTGTTTGCGCTACTGAGACTGTTAATACAAACTTTAAGACCTGAAAAGGTGTAATGAAAACCATCCCGTCCCCATTCCTCCTCCTCTTTGAGGCACTGGAGGAACTGTGCTTCTGAGGAACAACTCTAATTAGTACACTTGTGTTTGTAGATTTACACTTTGTATTATGTATAACATGGTGTGTTTATTTTTATATTTGTTCTCTGGTTGGGAGTATGATATGAAGGATCAACATCCTCAACTGACGCTTGTTTGTAGGCAAATGTTAGCCCTTCACTCTTTCTCAACCCTTGCCATATAATTTTTGTAATTCTGACTTAACTAATTTTTTAAGCCTGAGATCAATAAGAAATGTTTAGGAGAGAGAAAAGGGAAAAAAATATGCCCCACAATTATATTTAGAGAGACAACATTTAATCTTGCCTATTGAAAAGTATGTTTCATAAGTAGTAGGGGCCACATATTCCATTCAGTTGCTCTAAGTCCAGCAATTGATCGTGGCATTATCTGGGCAAGGACAGATTCCTGTGCTGTCAGAAAGCTTGGCTCGACTTGATTTCATTCAGTTTTTTTTCTTCCCAGTAAGACTAGCTGTTTGCTAATTTTGCCAAGCACAGCTGTGGTGGGAAGAGTTAGGGCCAGTGTCTTGAAAATCAATCAAGTAGTGAATGTGATCTCTTTACAGAGCTATACATAGAAACAGCTGGAAAACTAAGGGAAAAATACAAGTGTTTTCAGGGCACACACTTTTTTCTGGGTGTGCATCTGTTGAAGTGCTCAAGACTTTCTTGCCTATTGAATCACTGTAAGTGCCCCATTCAGCTCCTATTTCCCCAGGTGTTCCTAGGAATTAATCTTGCTTTCACTACATAGTTAAAATGTACTCCTTTCCAATTATGTCATTTCATTGAAAGTGCCTTTAACGAAAGAAATGATCACTGAAATGAGGATTCTCTTAAGAAACCCTGAGATGAAATACAGAGATTATTTGGACCACCTTGTATGAAGCTTACAACCTCCCAATGTATTGGGGATTTTTTTTTTTTTTCTTCCCTTTCTCTTTCAGACAGTGGTTAAATAGCAGTATTAGTTAGGAGCTTGGTTGCAGTGTTCTTATCTTGTGGGCTGGTTTCCAAAAACCACATGCTGCTGAATTTACCAGGGATCCTCATACCTCAGAATGCTAACCACTTACTACCAGGCCTATTTCTGTGTCAGCTGAAGAGCTTGAACTCAGACACAAAGATGAGAGGGCCTACTGAGAGGACTCTTTGGTTTGAGGACCATTGTTCAACCTTCTTGCCTTTGACCCAACGCCCCCTCTCCCCGCTGCCCCCAAAAAAGTTTATCGTGGATCAGCAGATTGCCAATCCTTGTCAAAGAGAGGGACATTGTAGAAAGAGCTGAAGAAGCTGCCTTCTGTTCCCAACTCACTTTACCCATATTTTATGTAACACAAACTCTGTCTTTTTTGGTCCTTTTCTTACAGATGGACCTCTTTTGAGAAGAATTATTGTATTCCAAACTTTTTTAGCCCTCAGGTTACTAAGATAAATATATGTATATCTAACCTTTATTATTTCATGTATCTTTGTGGATAATACATTCAGGTGGTGCTGGGTGATTATTATAATCTGAACCTAGGTGTATCCTTTGGTCTTCCATGATCATGTTGAGGTGGACTACTTGGCCTGGCAAAAAGCCAGATTATCACGTAACTTGATCCTGGCCTTTGCATTGAGCTCTTGAGAGTGGATACACTCTTTTTAACCCCAATATAGGGGAATGTAAATTCTCTGCTCTCCAGATTCCCCATTTTTATCATTAAGAAGATCAAAGATAATAATGGCAACCCAGGATTAGAGAGAGCACATCATGAACTGTGTGGCAGGAGAGCCTTGCAGCTCACTAGGTACAGAGAACCCAGGCCTGATGTTAAAAGTTACGCACTTAGAAAGCAAACCTTCATATGCTAAAATGGCAACTTCTGGATGCTGGGTGCTCAGCAGCAAGCATACTCTAATAATCTCTAATGATCCCCCTGGATTATCTTTTTGGTTTAAGTCAAGCCTGAGGCTGGTGAACAGTAGCTACACACCCACACTGTGTGTCCTGTGAATGCTAGCTCTCTTGAATTTGGATACTGGTTATTTTTTATAGAGTGTAAACTAAGTTTTATATTCTATAATGCAAACAGGTACCTATCTGTTTCTAAATAAAACTGTTTACATTCATTGTGGGGTATGCGTATTCCTTTATTCTCTTAAGAAATGGAACTCTTACTTAGAATGATGGGTGCTGTAAAATATCAAGAAAAGGAGGTCTCCTAGAAGATACTCCCTCCCCATCCCAGAGAAGTTCTGCCTTCTCCCAGATTAGCCATTCCTTTTTTATTTCTGAAATCTTCTGGCGTCTTTCCCACTACAGCTGTAACCCCTCTTTGCTTCCCTCGGGCCATGTAACTGGAGAGGAGTCCAGCTGCTCATTACATAATTACCTGATACCAAACACAAGCCATTCCTGAATGTACACACAGCATTTATTCTGACTTTTATTTCAAAAAGGCTCTTTTTCAGGGGGTGCAGAGGGGAAACATAAAGTATAAAGTAAAACAGTTTTTTGAACATTTTGGTATAGTTCATAAATGGTATTAAGATGTGCACAGTCATTTTGAGAACATGAAGGGAATTAACCATTAACTTTACTAAATAATGCAGCTTAAGACAGGTTTAGCCAAATTGGGTGGGGAGCACCTGGAATAATTCATGCTGGCTCAGGAGCTTCTGGACATGGCTGTCCCTGCCAGAACTATAGGATTATTGGCAGTGATGGCATAAAGAAGTTCTTTCAGACTCGTATTTTGGGCCTACTCAAGGTTTTGGTGGTTTCTTTATATCTCTCCGATTTCTTTCTTTTTCTTTTTTTTTTTTAAAGATTTTATTTATTTGACAGAGCACAAGCAGGGGGAGCAGCAGGGAGAGGGAGAAGCAGAAGCAGGCTCTCTGCTGAGCAGCCCGATTGGGGGCTTGATCCCAGGACCCTGGGATCATGACCTGAGCCGAAGGCAGCCGCTTAACCGACTGAGCTACCCAGGCGCCCCTATCTGATTTCTAAGGTGTTTTAAGTTTGTTCTAATTCAGAATGTATCATCTCAGAACAGATCCTCAATAGGAAGAAAAAAATTACAAAGAAGGAAGATAATTATTATCCATACACTGAAAAATCCGCCATACTCCTGTATAGTTGCCTCATAAATCAGTTATCCAAGTGCTATGAATGATGCCACTTAGTAAAAATTGAGTATTGTTGACATGGCCTTTGGAGTGGTCTAAAGTAGACCTGGTTGGAACAGTAGCTTTGTGGGTAGGAAAGGAATGGTAGGAAAATGGAAAGTGGACTCCCCGAATTGCCATTATACCCTTCCCATCTTTTTCTGCATTTGTTAGTAGTTTGGTTTTTGAGAGAGAAAGAAGAAATTTCCCTAAATGTAAAATCCTAGTTGCTGCAAATAAGCCAATATGACTCCTTAGTTGGGGCCAACTTGACTGGGAGAGACAGCAGAGACTTCTGTTTTCTGGGAGCTGGACATTTCAGAATCATCTGTCATGGACTTCCCACACACCATCTCCATGATGCAGGCTTGGAACTGGAAGGAAAACACAGAATTGGAGATAGCCCCTTGCAGACCAGTACGGAGGAGGTGACATCAAGAAATGTGGGGAGCAAAGAGATCTCATTCTTTGTATCCCCAAAGCCTTGTGCAATGCCTTATACCCAGGATCTCCTCACGTGTTTTTTGTTTTTTTTTTTTTAAGATTTTATTTACTAGAGAATGAGCGGGGAGTGGGGGGCGAGGGGAGCAGAGAGAAAAACAGACTCCATGGGGGCGCCTGGGTGGCTCAGTCGTTGGGCGTCTGCCTTCGGCTCGGGTCGTGGTCCCAGGGTCCTGGGATCGAGCCCCACATCGGGCTCCCTGCTCAGCGGGAAGCCTGCTTCTCCTCTCCCACTCCCCCTGCTTGTGTTCCCTCTCTCGCTGTGTCTCTCTCTGTCAAATAAAGAAATAAAATTAAAAAAAAAAAAAAAAAAAGACTCCATGCTGAGCATGAAGCCCTACTCAGGGCTCTATCCTAGGACCCGGAAATCACGACCTGAGCCGAAGGCAGACACTTAACTGACTGAGCCACCCAGCCAGGCGCCCTCCTCAGGTGGTTTTGAATACATCTTCCCAATCCTTAGAGCTCCTCCTAGGTCTACAATAATAATCCCTACATATTTTGGCTCAGAGACTTGACTGTTGGTAAACCCCAAAGCAGCACCTGCCTCATCAAAACACTGAAAAGCAAGGCCGGAGTAGGCCTGCCCACACACCCCACCATTATTAGAGGGTGCTCCCGATTGGAAAGTTGCCAATTTTGTTTCCATCCAGAAGCTTTGAATCCGTCTCTGTGGACTGAGGAAACAAAATAGCTGTTAATAATTCTCAAAGCAGGGAGTTTGCCCCACAAGACGGGAACTCTCCTAGATTTATCTAAATTTGGGTTTTTATTAGCTCAGATACAGGATTTGGGATAGGAGGCCACTCGGTACCTTCAGATGATAAACTGTGTTAGAGATGTATGCATGTGTTATGGTTTCTGTGCTTTTGCATATGCTCCTGCAGGCTGGAAGTTGGAAGGGAAAGGATTAAGAACCTGTGAAGTGGAAGGACTAGGAATTTAGGGGAATGATTAGTCTATTAGTTTTTCAAGAAAACAAAACCCTTTCACTTCTCATCCTGCCCTTTGGAGCAACCTGATTTTTAGGGCTCAAGTTCTGTTTTCTCTGGGTTCTATTACCTTGTCTCGATGACCACCCCCGTCTCCCTGTGCTTACCAAGGGCTTTCCTTGTTCACCCTTAGAAGCCTTTTGAGTAGAGTCCAAGGTGCTCTGAAGCAAAAGGTGTTGGTGAGAAAAGAACCAGGTCTTATGAACTGGAGTCTCATAGGCATGTAAATAGAGAGCTTTACCTGCTTATTCATAAAGCAGTAGATGATGGGGTTGTAGACACAAGCACTCTTGAAGAAGAAGGCAGGAATGGTGACAAGCCGTAGGTCCAGCCCGTGGTTCCGGCTGTTGACCATATACATGGTCATCGCAGCATAGGGCGTGTAACAGAGACAGAAGGAGCCCACCATCACTACCACCATCCGGCTCACCTCCCGCTCGGCCTTCTGACTCCTGTTGCTGGGCTGCGACCTTGGCAGAGCACAGAGAAACCTTCTCTTCTTCCTGGCCCTCAACTCCCCGCCTCTCCACCCTTTCCTACCAGGGGGGCATCCACTCCCAGTTGCCTCTCTTCTGTCCCAGCTTCTGGCCTAGTGCCTCTTGCTCTCCTTCCTTGAGGAAGGTGGGATGGAGAATGGCTCTCTGGTCTGTGACTTTGGAAGGGATCACATGAATCTCTTGCCACACGTTTGAGCAGAGAGGACCCCGCCCTGCTCTTCACACCATTTCATCATACTCCCTCTCTCAAATAAATAAATAAATAAATAAGAGGTCAAAGACTAAGGTTATACCCAACTCTTTCCACCCACATCAGCTTGAGCTCCTAGCTCAGCACCACTGCCCTACACTCTCACCGGCTCCAGCCAAAGAAGGGTGGGATGGAGACGCCAATACCAATGGTCCAGGTAGCCAGGACCACCATCAGCGCGTGCTTGGAGCTGAAGCGGAAGTTGCCGAAGGGCTTACAGATGACCATGTAGCCCTCAAAGGCCAGGAAGGCCAGTGACCAGCCTGTCACCAGACCTGTAGTGAAACACGAAGGTAATTGGGGTAGAAAGCCCCACCCAGCCTGGCAGGCAGAGTGGAATACAGATGGTGGAGCAAGCACGGGGACTGATGGTTGGTGTGGAGTTTGGGACTTGGTCAAACTTCTAGTCCCAGCTACTTTGTACCCAATGATAAAGAGCACCAAACTCCTTTTCCCCAGGCTCCTCTTTAGGGGCCCACTCTAACCCAACAGTCTGGTCCCTGGTTCCAATCCTGGAGCAGTCCTTTGTCTCCCCCCAGTCTCCTTCCCCTTCAGTACCTGCTGTAGAGCCCAGGAAGGCCTCCAAAGCACAAACATGGCGGCCAAAGATGAAGTATCCCTGACAGCTGGCGATGAAGACGCTGGAGACAGAGATGCAGTAGAGGAAGCCCCCCAGGGATACACTGACCAGAATATAGTTGAGTGGCTGTCGCAACTTCTTGTAGCGCAGGGTGGCCACCAGCACCGAGGCATTGAGTGGTGTCCCTGCAAAGAAGACAAAGCCCATGAAGACTGCCTGGAGGCGGAAGGCCCAGACAGGGGCAATGTGGTACTGAGGCCCATCCCATGGCCCCACCAAGGAGATGTTCTTGAACAGATAAAACTCCTCCTCCCCTGACATCTTACTCATGGGATGTCCCCACGCTCTCTGATTCCTCTTATAGATTACCGTCCCACCACCACTTCTCCCCTGCCCTCCAAAGCCCCTTTCGGGCTCCCTGAATGATCAGTACTGATCCTAAGCCTCCTAAGGACAAAGTTTTGAGATTAGAGATGTCCAAGCCCCCACCTAAACCTCCTTTGTGGCCCCAAAGCCGATTGTGTGTTCTTGAGAGGATAAAAATATTGGGCTCAAAGAATCGACATGCAGTGCTGGGTGCTGGAATGACTAGGCGTCTGCGCACTGCAGCCTGGGGTTGCTGACCCCTATTTAGCAGGGATGTGTCCACCACTTTGTGTGTGTGTGTGTGTGTGTGTGTCCTTTGAATGGAACTACCGAGGGTATGCCTTTCGGTTTGGCTTCTGGTGCCACTACATCCCTATACATTTCTGTGCCCATCTGCTCCTTTGTGGAAGGTGCCCCCTAAGTCTCCCTCTCCAGAGATCTTGGGCTCACAGCCAGCCTGGGAAGCAGCCTTGGGCCACAGAAGAGGCAGGGAATGGGGAGCACCCTGGGTGGGAGCACCTTGGTGAACAGCCTTCACAGATCAGTACAGGGGCAACTGGACAATGCTTGCAGTCGAAGGCCTCCCTGGCTGCCTCTGTTTTTCCATGTTGAGTCTACCCAGGAGGGTGTATTTTCTGCTCAGCCCACCCCCCTCCAGACCTCAGGCTGCGGTTGGTTTGCTCGCTGGCCCCGCCTTGAGCTCAGCAGTGCCCAAGTCGCCAAGTGCCCAAGTCTTGCCCTGTCTGCTCTCAAGGCCTGCCCAGCCCTCACAGCTGGACTCAAGACCTGTTCCGCGCAGCCCGCCCCAGCGAGGCCACCGCAGAGAGGCCAGCTCTGCCCTAGGCTCCGCCCTGTGAATGTGTCCCCTGCCCCACTTCAACGGACTGTGAGCACAGAGATCAAAGCGACGCACTTTGAATACAGGTAAGGGGAAGTGAAAGGGTGGCTTCTGGTGGCCCAGTTGTTTTTATCACATGAATCCCCCCACAGGGAAAAATTATAAACTAAATATGAAAAACGACTCCTGGAAAGCGCTATAAAGTACCCCAAAGCAGGCAGCAACGGAAAGGACCCAAACCTTGAATGAAAGGAACCATCTACATGTAAATGGATTATTTCCTGAGGGCACTCTGCCCAGGCTAAAGGGCAGGGGACAGCTGGGAAGTCCCAGCCTTTACGCCCTGAAGAGGCAGAGGACAGAGTCTGGGACTCCAGAGTGGCCGAAGATGGCAGGTGGGCCTCCTGGAAGGAAGGACGCCCCAGCAGAGGAAGACCCCCCCCCAGTCGGAGGCTGCGGGCCGAGCTCTGCCAGGAGGAGCGTGGCGGGAGCCCAGCAGAAGGCCGGAGCTGGGGGTCTGACCACCGAGCGGAGGCGCGGGCCGCTAAACAGGGCGGCGGAGAGAGAGTTCGAGACTGATCCCACCCAGGTAGAGGAGCGGGCCAAACCCTCCTGGCTTTCCATTTGAAACTCCAAGAGGCCACAGCTCAGGATAAAATCTGCGGCCCTCGGATCGCGAGCTAGAAGGGCTCAAAGCCGACTGGCCAGCCGCTGGCGAGAGACCGGACGCTCAGCCGGCGCGGGGACCCTGGCGGGGGCCCGGCCCGCGGCCAGGAATTGCAAGGCCCCTGGCTCTCCACTGGATCGCGGGGGCGGCTGGTCCTCTGCCCCGGGCAGGCTCTTAGGACCAGGGCCGGAGGCCACCTCTCGGGCCGTGTGAGGTGCTGCCTCCGGGCAGGGCCCCGGGCCCGGTGGCCTGTGCTGCGGGGGGCGAGGCCGCCTCCGCTGTGTGCAGGGCTCTGCTGAGGTGCCACCTCCGTAAACGGTTCCGACGGGAAGCCTCGGCTTGGCCTGCCGACCCAGCGGGTGTGGACAAAAGACACCCCAAGGCCCTCCCACTGGTACTACCCAGGCCAGGCGGCTGCACCTTTGGCCTCTTCTAGGTCCGTCCTGACACCTTTCCAGACAGTCCCTTCCCACCTTATTCTCCCCTGCATCAGGGGGCGGGGCGGTGGGCGCAAGCAGGGAGCAGCCCCGCCCCCGCTAGGATGGGCCAGAGGCCCAGCGCCCGGGGGTGGGGGCGGGGGTGCGGACAGCTCGGGCCAGAAAGAGCCTTTCCCAAGAATAGGGTCTCATTGGTACCCACGCAGGGGACGACAAAGTTCCAGAGTCAGCGAAGCCATGGAGTAGGGAGCAGGAAGGTTTTGAGGTTGGGGCATGGGGTAAAGGTGAAGACTGAAGACAGGGGCGCCTGGGGGGCTCAATCGGTTAAGCGTCTGCCTTCGGCTCAGGTCATGATCCCGGGGTCCTGGGGTCGAGCCCCGCATCGGGCTCCCTGCTTAACGGGGAGTCTGCTTCTCCCTCTCCTTCCCACTTGTGCTCTCTGTCGCTATCTCTGTCTCTCTCTCTCTCTCAAATAAATAAATAAAATCTTAAAAAAAAACCAAACTGAAGACAGTTTGAGTACATTTAACATATACAGTGCCCTTTTCAAGTTTCAAGTCACTTTATTTTTTTATTTTTTAAAGATTTTATTTATCAGAGAGAGAGAGAATGAGAGAGAGCGCGCAAGAGGGGGTAGGGTTAGAGGGAGAAGCAGACTCCCTGCCGACCAGGGAGCCCGATGCGGGACTCGATCCCGGGACTCCAGGATCACGACCTGAGCCGAAGGCAGTCGCTTAACCAACTGAGCCACCCAGGCACCCTAAAGTCACTTTATTAATTTAGGAACATGATATACTAAGGCTTTACAGAAGATTATGTTGGTTAGGTATATTTAGCCCAGGATTTCTCCATCTCCACACTCCTGGTATATTGGCTCAGACAATCCTTTGCTGGGGGAGGGGCGCGGCTGTCCTGTGCACTGCAGGATGTTTGCAGCTTCCTGGTCACTACCCGCTGGATGCCAACAGCACTGGCACCACCTCAGGCATGACAATCGAAAACGTTTTCAGACACAAATATTCCCTGAGAGGCAAAACCACCCCCTGCCTCCTCCCGTCTAGTTAAGAACCACTGACTTAGATTTAGACATATAAATGTCCAGAACAAAATGGAAAAAACAGTCAAGAGGAAATTTGTTTTTCCCTTTTAATTGTCTAGAAAAAAGGAAAGTTCTAGAGAAGGAGGATTTTTTTTTTAAGATTTATGTTTTCCTTTGAGAGAGAGAGACCGCACGCATGTGAGGGGGGAGAGGGGAAGGGAGGCTGAGGAAGACGGAGAGAGAGAATCCCAAGCAGTCTCCACTCCGAGCACAGAGCCCAACGCAGGGCTAGATCCCACAACCCTGAGACCATGACCCAAGCAGAAACCAAGAGTCAGATGCTCAAACCACTGAACCACTCAGGAGCCCCCAAAAGAGGATACTTTTTGAATAGTCTTAGCGTTTTGGTTTGGTTTTTTTTCCTATTCTCTTTAGGAGTTTATCCATCTATACTCCCACCTTTTCCAGAAATAGTTTAAGGGAAGTTTGTAGGAATATATGGAACACAACAAGAAGTCATGAATCAAATGTAGGAGCAAAAGAAGAAGAAAGGAGTTCAGAAGTCAAGAATTAAATTGAAATATGACCACACATTCATGCTTTCTAGAAGCTACATATTTACATAATTCAGCGTCCAGAAAGCAAACACAAACCAACTGTTCTTGGGATTATGACAGACAAGAATACCTCCCTAGGGACTATACAAAGGCGACGTTGGTGTGATATAATAAACTATGTCCTCAAGAACATTCTTGAGCAGACAGAACAACCAGTTTCATAGGACTGGATATACTCCTGACTATTACCCCTCAATATGGACTCAACACAAAGCATAATTCAGAATTGGACATAAACCAGAACCATTATTAGGCTGGGTGCCAAATACCAGCTCCGGTGGGCTGCTCTGATCCAGAGGACATTTAGGCTCTCTGGAGGTTTGAAGTACATTTCCCTTTGCCTTCTCTAATCCTTGCTTCTCTCGGCTTAGAGTCCCATAATTTAATTTCTGTTTTTGAGTGGATTATAGATATGTCCAGGACTGAATATTCAAAAAGTACAAAAGAATGTACAGTGAAAAATTCACTTATTTCCCCCCCAGTTCCCCTCTCCCAAGGCAACCAGTGTTGGCTTTTGCTGTGTTGTTGATACATAGGAGGTGACAGTGAACTTGAGATGATGTGTTGTGACAATGTTGTCTGTTAAATACTGACCCATAAGAGTTCTCCAGACAAATGATGAGATAAGAGAAAGGTCTACACGCTGACGTGGATATGAGGAATTGTCAAAGGATTTGCCCAACTGAAAGCCACCCTCTCTTGGGAGGAAAGGGAGGAAGCTCCTAGAAGTAGAGCCAGGATTCTCCCCAGAGAATTCCATCTATGGCTTGTTAAAGGCAGAGACAAACAAGTCACTGAAGGTCTAAAGTCCTAGGGCCCACAGCAAAGCCACAGTAATTTTAGCCTGGGGGGAAGAATAGTGTATGGTAGGTGCCAATGGATTCCCACCAGAGCAGCGCTCCTCTCCCCAGACCCCTGCCATCCTGGGGGGCATTAGGTGGTGTGCGGGGGTGTTTCGTGGCTGTCTCAATGGTGAAGAAGGGATTACTGGTATTTAGTGGGCAGGACACTGTTCCAGACAGGCCACACAACGAAGAATGACCCTGCCTCAAATTTGAACAGCACCCCCAGAAAGAAGCACTGGCTGGAATCCAAGCCCCGTCTCATCCCTGAAACATTCTTAGCCCCTAGGAGACTGTCTTGGAGTAACCTCACTTCCTGGCACATCTACCAAGAGGAGCAATTTAGGGAATGTGTGCTGAGGTAATGGAATGACGTGTTGAGTGCGCTATTATTTATAAGCCAGTTTAGAGCTGGGGAACAGCTACCCAAAAAAGTCTCTTTGGTTTTAGAATAGATGAGCTGTTGCCTTTCTCCCTGGCCATGATTAGTTCGTGGAACCAGTTGTCTGGTCCGG